CTTTCTTGATTTCGGGGGGGGGAGGGGGGTGGTTGGTGCTGTTTTGTTTCTTCTTTATTTTTTTTATGGATCATTTCGGTAAGAGTGGGATGTCACCACCATGTCAGATGGGGATGGGTCGGGGCATGAAGGCCCCATCAGGCTATTGGTAGGGGCTGTCTACGGGGGAAAACGTCAGATGTATAAATGGATGGTGATGTCTATAAAAGATGCCTTCCCTCTCCCTCCCTCCCTACCCCCTTCCTCGATCCTCTCCCCAGCTCAACCAGCAACCAGCAACCAGCAACCAGCAACCAGCAATCCACCATCCCCTCCACCATCACTCAAACCACTCCCAAACCATGCAACCCAACCACTAACCTCCCCCCTCTCTCCCCCCCAGATTCACCGGCCAATGCACGCTACACAGCCTCCTCCTGCACGCGCCACCAACCTCCACCTCGCCGCAAACCATCCACCTGCCCCGCAACCGCCCGGACCTCGACTTCGCCACCGCCGTCGACCTAGCACCCACCCAGACCCTGAATCTGCCCCCTCCAACCTCCGCCTCGTCATCCACCATCCTGGAACTATTGAGGGATGAGAGAGTGAGTGGGTGTGTGATTGGAAGGGCATCGCTACAATTCTTTGCCGTGATGGAAAAAGTACGCCGAGGACCTTTCCGCTTTTTGGCAGAAGCGTGCTGTGGAGCGAAGGAGAAGCGGGAACTTTGATTCTTGTCATAGGCATCGCCGGCGCAGCTTCCCGTAGGAATAGGACGGTCTGATAGGGCTGGGATGGTGCTCCTTTCTTCATCTCAAGCTGCCTGGTCGGGCACAACCGCTACGCCGAGGCCGAGGCCTAGGCCCTTTTCTTAGCGAGAAAGCATGTTCTTTGGGACTGTTCCAGATGGTCCATGCACTACTTAGCTTGTGAAAATCGCAGTAGATGCTCGCAGTGGATGCTCACGGTCGGCAACGAGGAAACAGAGACCAATGTCACTTTGGCAAAGATTTGTGTCTGTGACGGTGTGGGTACAGCGGCGTCAGAATGCAAAGCCAAAAAACCACCGAGCTCGAAGATAGCCTGAAATTAGCACCAGCTTTGTCGTCGCACAAACCAACCTTTCCCATTGTCTCTGCGCCAACTTTTCCCTCTCGCTGGCGGATGCACCTTCTACCATCACTGCTGTCCGCCGTTGAATGCTCATAGATTGAAGTCAAACGCCCCCTATCCATCATCAATTCGTGACACGCTCCGACACCCACTCCGTCCTCCATCTACACAAACGCCAGATCTCAATTATTGTCCAACGGGTGTACTACTCTTCACAGCGCTAGATGCTAGTGGCGTAAATGACGTCTTAGAGGGAAGAGGCGAAGTGTTCTCCACCTTAGAAGGCGGCGGCTTTTTGGGTAGATGTGCAGGCGTACCCCATTTCTTCTGGAGGGATTCTTGAGCCGTCTTTGCTGCTGACGAGGCGCGCGCTGCGGCATCGGTATTGTCGGCGTTAGGAGTGCTGTTGCTACCTTGAGGAATGATGTACGAGTTTGTGGCTCGACCATGGCTAGCTTGTCCTCCAAAGCGATGATTTGGACCGCCTGGAACAAACGAGCGCGTCTGTGGATTGAAAGCGGGACGACTGTAGCTTCCAGGAAGAGGATGTTGGTTGAGGGGTGGTGTAGTCGACGAATATTGCTGAAATGGAGCCGGTGCAAACTGATATGGACTACCAGGGCTGGCTGCATTTGAGTACGGGTGACAACTTGTCCATGACATCGGAGCACCGTTCTGCCCCATGGACAACTGCATGGGTGGCTGTGCTTGGTATGGTTGCGAATATTGCACCAGACCCCACTGCTGGTTCGGCACCGGAAAAGTTGCCGAAGCAATGGGCGGATATTGATTGACAGGTGGTGATACCGCAGAGCCATACGCAGGATAGCTAGGCCCAGGCTGCTGAACGAAGTTGCAATAACCACCTGGCTGTGGTGATTGTGAACCAGACCATCCATCATTGGAACCGCAGTAATTAGGGTATGCAGCAGCATAATTGGTCCCCGACATCGTAGCAGACGGATCGTATTGACCGTATGCTGGGGTAGCATTTGCGCCGAATGCCATGGTCGGCACCGCACTGGGCGTCTGGGCTCCATAAGGCGACTGATGGCCACTGGCACTGTACGACTCAACATACTGATTCTGAGTAGAATAAGGCATGCCCCCGTATCCAGGAACATAGGAAGATCTAACCTCAAAGCTGTCGTCTTTAGGCGTTCTCTGCTTGTGGCCTTTCTTCTTGCCACTCGATGAGCTCGACCGCGACATATTTGTAGAAGCGTCCGCACTCAGGTTCTCTGCGGGTTGCGCTTCCTGGAAATCGCGAAAGATCCGTTCCCGGGCAGCCTTGTAATGTGCTTCTTTCTCTTCTCGTGTCCACTTGGATCGATCCTTTGATGAGGCCGTGTCCGGAGGAGAGGGCATCCCTTCTTCACTGGTGTTTTCCGCGCCTGCATCGGATGTTGCTTTGGAGGGAACAGATGAGCTAGCAGCTGTACTTCCTTCGTTGGAAAGTTTGTTTCCAGACAAAGCTGTACGTCGCATTATCTTGACGGCTGCTGCACCGGTGGGGAGACTATCTCTGCCAACGATGCCACGAACAAGCTCACTCAACGGCAAAGGCCTGGGAATGTGAGTCAGCAGAGAGGTAGGCGGATGAAACAAATCGTACTGACAGTTTGAACTCCATATTCTTGCACAGACGGATCGAATTGCTGTCAGGCGGACTGTAGTGAACCAAGTTATAGTAATCTGCCAGTTTATGGGCTAGCAATCTCTCGTAAGAGTTCTGTGGAGGTAGATGGAGCGTATCATCTCTGCAAGGAAGGTAAGCGCAAACTCGAGTAATGATTTAACATTGAGATTGTACCTGGATTGTGCAATGAAAGCAAGAAACCTCTCCTCGAGCTGCAGGAGGAGTAATCGGTCCTTTGGCGTTCCCAAGGCTTCTATGATTTTCTCATCTGGGGAAGTTGGACCTGCTGGATATTGCTGAAGTGACTCCACACCATCCTGTTTTGTTGCAAACGGGTCAAGGGGCGTCATGTGTTGATGAAGACCCGGAGGTGCAGCCGGCATGATATCCCCAAACCGAGGCGGGTTCGCCATTATGGTCATGGGGAATTGTCGACCAGTGGGACCAGAAGCAATGGTACGATCATGCAGCGGCCTGCGCAAGTTGACATTATTACCATCCAGCGCCATCTGAAGATCAGCCCTGCCGAATACTGGAGGAACGAAAAATGGCTCATCCTCATCCGCTGCCTGAACACTTGCGCTGTCATCAGGACGAAGTGACTCTTTCTCGTCCATTGCGAAGGTATTTTCAGACGCCATGCTTTTGGTGTCAAAGCTAGCTTGTTTTGTTGATGAGCTTGATAGATGCGAGCGATCGTCCTCCGCGCTATTGGTAATGGGTACCGTGTCTGTGCTTGACTCGTTCGGCGAATGGTTTGATGACACTTCCGGGCTGACATTCAACTTCTCAATGCCATTTGCGATCACATCTACATCGGAAAGGACTGAAGCTTGGCTTGCGAAGACTTGAGTGGTTCCAGATACCACCTTCGCGGGATTATCAGGTTGCAAATTCATGCCGGGGTCTTTTTGTGATTCTGTTGCCTTGGTCTGAGCATTTGTGGCGCTGACGACTTTCGGCGGAGGTGCCATGGCCGCAACCTGAAGAACTGCTGGTTAGAAGCATGTACAGATGGATAGAGCTTGGACAAAACTGACCTTGGCAAAGGAGGGCTTGCCGGCAACTGCTGCAGGAGTTACTGACGCCATGACCACACGCCTAGTATACTCCAATCCAAAAATCTGACGAGAAGAACTTTTGGAGATCTATATGCCCAAGATACATTCGAAACACTTTTGCGGGCTCGAAAAGAAAGCGAATGTGGACCCCTCCTCACACAATAAGGCTAAAGCCAGCAGCACATTTCTGACTAAAGAGGAGCCACTCCATGAGCTTTGCTGGCAGGGCAAGGTGATGGGACTTCTCAAGGAAGCTGTAGACCACTCCTGATAGCTACTAGGCGATATGTGCCTCGGAGCTTTGATCAGAGAGCACAAGGATATTAATGGCCCGTCTCACGACTGGAGATCGGCGGGATTGAACTCGACTTTCGATACGAAAATGATGGAGGAAACGGCTTGTAGGTGAAGGATTATCGTGTGATTCCAATATAGGTACTAATCGTGGAGAACACCTAGACGGTGAATGCGTACTGCAGCTCAGTACATTGGTGAAGTTGCTTGCGTGGGGCAGAGAGAACACCTTGTAGGTGGGTGTGCAGGTCACAAATGGATAAGGAAGGATCAAGGACGGCGACAACGTTTTGGTCGTCTTTCTCCCTGTCCTAGTGGACCGACAGTTTGTGGTCAAGTAGCAGTGGTTGACTGGGTAGGAAAGTTGACTGCGCTCGCCAGCGTCAGTAGGAGTTTAGCTCCCGCTGTGCTTAAGCCACTGTACACTTACGCTGTACGAGGTCCCCCTAACGTCTCCGCCGATTGTGGCCCTATAATTCCTTGGCTTCCACTCTCAAAGACATGAGCAGGTCTTGACAGTATTTATTTGCATAACCCTACTTCTTCATGATTTTCTGCTCCTCTTTGGTCAAGAGACCATTCTTACCACTACGGGCTCTGAAGTTCTGTCATGTCAGATTGAGCTGCCTATTATTGCTCAGCGTTACACCATTGTGGACAGTCGCTAGATGGCGCCCTTCCACCTAATATTTCTCCGAAATCTTTCTTTGTGAACATTGAAGTTTCTTCTCGTATCTCAAACCCACGTGAAGAATATCTACTCAACAAGGCAGTCAATTTTTCCGCAAGTGATTAAGGCATTTTTCCGGCAATACTTGTTGTCGTGCTCACTTGTTTGGCAATTTTGGCCCTACAGGGCATCTAGCTGTGTACACATACGCAGGACTTCTCTTGGCTACTATCTGGGAAAGGAGGTCTCTTTCCCCCTTTTCCTTCTTCCTTGTCACACTCTTCCACTGGCCCAGACCTTCGTAAAGGGTGCCCTCCAGTGGAGGATCTGGGTAAAAGCTGCATTGAATGTCCGGCTTCGGCACAAAAAACATGGAGATCAGTCAGCATCAATTCTGTGAATGGCACACCCGGAGAATGAGCACATTTCAGGTGCGGGTTTACCATGATGTGTGTGGGAAATAAAACCTGAGAAAGTTTGGCCGTTGGAGTTTGGGGTGTTAGGCTTGGCTTTCCTAGTCGCGACTCTGGAGGGCCGTAAATATACGTCACATATTCCTTCAAGGTATGATGGGAGATGCTCGGGCAAATGGTTCCGGATAAGTGAGAGACAGGAGGAAGGGTAATAGAGCTTGTAAGTTGGTTGAAGCTGTGTCCACAATTTTTCGATTTTCGTTTGAAAGGGATGATATGACCCAAGAGATGCATGCGCAAAGAACAAGAAGCAGCAGTCTGATAGTAAAGGACATCACTACGAATGTCTTTGATACAGCTTTGGCGACATGAAGTATGAGTATGAAATCCTGGGTTGAACCGGTTTAGATCAAGAGACAGGGAACGCAGAGGATTCAGAGAAGAAAGTCAAATTGCAGGTGCCTGCTTAGAGAGATATGGGGGGAGAGGGAGAGAGAACATATGTATGTCTTCAAGAATAGGCGTGTATGATGTGAAATAGCGAGGACCTCTTCCTCACCGCAGCCTTACCGACTGATTCTGCGATCGTGGTGACGAAGGTCCTGTGGGAATCAAAGTCCTCGCTGGTGCTAATAGAGCTCGAGCAAACAGCAATCGTGTTCTTTCGACGACCTTTGAAAACATTGTGAAGACTGTACTGGGCAAACCAGAGCTTTTATTGCTGCCAAGCTAGTGCGATACTCCTAAAACGATGAGCATTAAGCTATTCGACAACGATTCGCAATGTCTCCAATTTAGTATTCCCAATTCCGTAAGAAAGGAAAGACTCGACTCCCTTGATTCCATGTCAATAATAATGGCATCTTCATGATTCTCAGCGCCAACAGAACAAATGTACGCTGGGGATAATTCAAGACGCCCACTGCTTTTACTTGCGAGGTGTTTGGAAATTCTCGGATGGGGGGAGCAGGTGTTCTCGCTTCACTCTCTTTTGGGCTAGTAAGTTGCCAGCTTTGCAAGTCTCGATGTCGAAGAATTGTCGTAAAACCTACGGAGTAGACGACTGCAATAAGCATACGTAGTAGAATGGTGAATCCCAACGCTGACACGGAAAGCAGTTCTGACAGGTCCACCGTCCGCCATAAACTCACCGCGATGAACATGCAAAGCCGCCCATACAGGAATGGTCCCGATTCGAAGTAGGCAATTTCGGCAAGGACAAGCACACCAGGACTTGCATACTGCTTCCTTTAGATGTCGACGAAACTTCTAGTTGCAGTAATGAAAAAGTCTAACTCTGAAACAGTGAGTGACGGCAGGAACAGATTGGATTGTCTGTGGTTCACGTCAGATTGTATCATCTTTTACGGGCTCTGCTTCAGAATATGCAAACACTGGTTGCTTAAAGTCAATCGGGCGCTTGCTCGTCTACTTTCCTGATGTGGGGCTGTACTACGTACTACGTAGTAACTTCCACTTGAGCTATGCCGAATCTGGGATGATGCGTATGCGAAGGAAGTGAATGATCTATCGAAGCGAGTGAGTTCATCAATGGTGATGATGCGTAACCTTGGAACACTTCTATTGGCACCGCCATCGTCTCTCTTACGTAGTACCTATCCATCTGGTGCCCGATAAGGCTGCGGGCTTAATCTGCGTGGTTACTCGTAGCTGATGTGTTCCTGATCCTTTGCCTCCTGGGGCGAATCCTACAATCAGCACTCCTATCAAGCAAGCGAAGAACAACCCCCACATCAACCCCCAGAGAGCATTGACTAGGCTAAGCCGATCGACCGTTCCTTCCCCAACCCTAAATCGGCCTCATGTCCAAGCTTTGAAGAATACGAGTCTTCTGACACGTCCTAAAACGCCCTTGATCCCACCCCGTACCTTGCATATGCGTAAGATTTAAGTTTAGCCTGCTTCATACCCCTGCAGGTGTGGCATACTACGTAGTTAACAATACCCTAAGGATAAGCGACGACAGCTGTCAGCCACTTACCATTATTAGTTCGCTCAGGCTGTCGGCCGCCGGCCGGCGATTGATATTGTGTTGCTGGGATGGTTGGACGGAATAGGATTGCACGTGCAGAAGGAGTAATTGCTAACTATATGGAGTTTACTTGGAGATTATCGGCCAGCCCGTGGGAGGATCGATCGGCACTGAGATGAGGTGCAATAACCGGTTCCGAGAGGGTGAGGAATATAGATATAGATATCCTGGGACGGATTTTAGTTTGTTCTCCTTCGTTTGGTCAATTGAAGATAGTACTTAGTATAACTAGCTACATTCTGGCAACCTTGTGAGGGGCTTGGATCCTTCAGTGGACATCCATCACATATACATATACACCATATCTCTCGGCTTCACAGCGCACATCCCCTTAACTAGCAATTCCCTTTGCTCGCTTAACACCTTGTGCGCCAGTTCTCGGAAACTCCCTGCTGGAGTCGAGTTATCAACTTGGATACATACTCGCCCCGGTCTACCTGTCTTATACTACCTACACACCAAACCTCCCACCTTCACAATCTCTCACATAATGGCAACCACCCCAAGCACCCACAGCCCAACCTCCTCAATCACATCCTCTCGCTCCTCCTCTCCTACATACCGACTCTTCCCGCACGCTCCTCAACCTTCGTCTCGTCCCAGACACATCTCTCTTCTACAAATCGATTTCCAACAACAACAGCAACAACAGCAGCAGCAGCAGCACATATCTATCCAACCAACCCAAAGTCCTTCGACTACCACCCATCAGCGCAACTTCTCCCGGCCACACTACCACAGACGTCATACCACAATTTCTAAAACTCAATCACCCACTACAAGCACAAGCACAACAACAAGAACACACAGCCACCTCACAAACTCAATTGAGCGCGCCACCCTCCCCATGCTCGCCCATCTAAATCAACAACTCAACCTCGCCCGCCTCGAGTCCGAAAGGGACAGAGTGAGACGTCAAATCCAGCGCCAGGAGACGGTAATGACGTTGAGTGGGTTGTTGAAGGATTGGGGTGAGGAAGAGGAGCGTTCTTGGTGGTCGGATGATTCGGATGATGAATCTGAAGGGAATGATGAAGGATGGGAGGTTTAGTAATGGATCTCTTAGGGGTAATGTTTGGGGTATGATTAGATGATGGAGTTGACGGTGTGGACTCTATTTGTGGGGCTTCGAGCGTGCATGTATCAGTACGGTTGAGTATGGCGTCAAAGCGGGACTTTTTTCTGGATTTGTATGAATTAGCATCAAGATACTGGGGATATAAGTGCGACGCTGACGAGCACAGAGAGAGGAAGTAAGCGCAAATGATCACAGAGGATGTCGTCATGGTGGGGAAGAAATGTATGCAGACAGCTTGAGCAAGACTATCTCGATCAAGAATAACGTTCAGTTGAAGATATTTGCTGAAGTTCGGGTACGTCGAAAGGAAGTATACGCACAGTTTTGTAGTGAAGTTGCAGCGCGGCATCCCTATCGTGCATCCGGGCCAGTATGCACAAATATCTTCACTCCATCTGGAGTAGCAAATGGAAGGCCCCTTTTTATTTTGGATATGGGCAAGCTCTAACCGAAATTTCGGTTTCTACGAGGCATCCTTTGAGGAAGGCTGGGAATAGACTTCGAGCTTTGTAGGTTGTAATGCTCCGGCTTATGGAATGATTTCATGGATTGGCCATTATAGCAGCGTGGTATCAGGAACGTGCTGCGGACCTTGCCGCACTTCGCCATATCATCATCTGTCACCCGTGTTTTGTGGGAGAACAAGGAGCTCTCAGCTTGCCTTTTAGCCTCAGAATTTCCATCGTTGGAAGCGTCAGTGGTTAGAGAAGTGAGATTGTGTTGCTTTAATCCTTATTGCGCGGAACAGGAGCTCTTCTCACCCTGCCAGCATAACTATCTTCACCCGTCGCATGATTCCCAAAATGCGATACTTCAGAGCAGAGCAGAGCTGGACTTGATAGGATGCAAGGGCGCTCCACTCGGTTACGGGCATTTCCGCCGTGGTATCGGACTTGTTGTGCGATCGCCGGGTGGAATTGTCTCCACGCTTTGTAACTTGGAGACAAGCTCCTTGCTACCCTTCAGGTCGAGATATTTGGAAAGCTCGGCTCTGCGCCTATTTAGTGTTAAATATTCAAAGATTGCCATTCGTCTGATCTTGACCTTCATCGGGTCGCTTTTCATCTTCCTGACCTTGACATTTGTGCCTTCGCTCTCATATTTTCGGATTCGTGTAAATCTACCTCGAAAAGGTTTGGCATTGCTTTTCTTCGCCGTAGACTTTGGGTTCTCGCTCTCTTTGCGTTCGCTCTTCTTTATCTGTTTGTTTATAGTCGCCGGCTTTTGATCGTCGATTCTTTCGTGCCTTGCATCTTTTTTAGCGGGCTCTTGATTTGACCCAGCTTCGGTTACTTGCTCCTGAATCTGCTGCGCTTGTGTCTCCTCTTCTTGTGGCGTGAGGCTCTGCGCCCTTTCCTCCACTCTACCCCCGCTTTCAATTTCCCCAATCTCCTGATCCTGACTCCTCTCACCCTGCCTGTTTCTGACCTCGCAACGTGTCGATCCTACCTGTCTCTCCCTAGCCTCTCTCTCCCTGGCCTTCTCCCAGCACCCATACTCCTCGTCTCTTGCAGCCTTCAATCTTGACCAAACAAAGCTGGCGTTGTATGTTGAACGAAAATCCACTCCAGTAAAGAAGAAGTCTGACGTCGCTGGCGAACAAAATCTTGAGCCAGCAAATACTAGACCAGGCTCCGTTGTGGCATCATGAGTGTCATTGGGCGCTTCCCCACGCTGAGTTAGTTGTGCATGGTCAAAAATGCCATCAACAAAAGTTTCACCATAAGCTGAATTGCTTGTAATGATGGAATCAAGCCGAATCAGAGTATTGGGAAGAGATGGGCTCTCTCGCTGCAATTGCGGCATGTTGCTTGCAGTGGCGTCTATGAAATCCTCTTCTTCAAATTGTGACTCTTGCTCGAAATCTGTAGATGGTGATCGTACATCCAAAGATGTTCCTTCGGGCTGTTTTCCGAAGTCTTCATCCATGCTGACGAAATCTGGGCGAGCAGGTTGTGGAGTAAGCTCCATCATCAAACGAGTAGTTTTTTCTGTACGGTGAAGACCTTGTCGGTACATTAACGTATCCACTTCCCTTGCAGCTTCAAGCTGGCCGTATCTTGTGAAAGCCACAGCAAGAATACCCCATGTTGTAGCAGACGGCGAGATCTTTCTGTCAAGCATTAATTGCACAATCTGAAGACACTTAGGGAGGGTTTGCATTTTCCGAGCAAAGAATGCTATGAATCCATCATAGAAAGGGAGACACTGTGCCAGACCGAGCGCAAGCTGGTCCTCTTCTGAATGCAGTTGTTCTGTCCGGTCCCATAGCGACTGTACAACCGTTGAAGACTGCTGTGCCAGTATGTACGACTGCACTACATATGCGAGAGTATCCATATCAGGTACGACTTGATGCTGGTTGAAAGCCGATGGGGAACTTCCGCTAACCATTTCGAGATGTAATAGAGGGGCTCTACTGAAGGTGCGACCGTAGAGCGCCAGCATGTCGGAGAACACCACAGTTGGACTCAGTTTCGATTCTTGTCCCTGTACACGGATGACGGTAAGAGTGAATGCTATCAGATGAGGATTGGCGATCAGGTCATTGCGAGCCCAGATTGCAGTTATCAGTCCTTCAAGTCCTTCTACGTCTTGACGGGCCAATGCATCCTGCATAAGAACAAGATACGTACGAGCATCGGTTGGGAGATCATGATCGCGAAGGTAATGAAAGAGGTCCCATGCAACTATGGACGCTCCCATATTCACAGCATTTTTCAGGACTATGTTGTGGAGAACAAGGTTTGTCTTGACACCAGCCTTAAGGATCTGAGGTAGAATGCGGAAGTTGGGCGAATTCTCATCAAAACTTATGGAATCAAGTTTTAATAAGTTTGTGCATCTCGAAAGGAGACGCTGGTCAGATCGCAAGCGTACATCGGGGTCTATGCCATTGAGCGCTTTAAGGGCCAGATCAATTTCTCCAATTCGGGTGAAAAAGTCCATGAAAATGAGCATGCAGTGATAGCTCAGGTAAATATTGGCGTCTAGAAGCTTTTCGAATATGTCTTTGCCCTGGTCAGCAGAGCAGTCTTCCAGCAACAGATCCAGATGTTTCCGTTCGATATGATATATCCATCGTGTTGGCTGTCGTTGTCGGGACAACACTTGCTGGTATAGCTCACCCAATTCCGGGTTTGCATTAATCTCATGTGCTCGAGCTCTTTTGAGGTAGAGCAAGACATCCATAACGCTCTCGAATGTTGGGAAGGGTTTGATATCTGTCACAAGCAGAAATCGTAAAGCCTGCTCAGTTGAGACAGTCAGACACTTCAGCATGATGTGCGGCCACCTTATCATTTTCTGCCGTTGCGGGACCTGAGACCATCTTATCCTAGCCTCACGCATATGCCTATCCATGTGGGTATCTGGCAAAAACTCCCAAGCTCTTTCTTGCTGAGCTCGAAGCTCCTCACCTATCTCACTTGCTTCGCTAATGTGGCCATCCTGCAGTAAATCTTGACACCAATCGGCTGCGAGAGGCGATATCGAAAGGCCTGGGATATGACTGCCATTGAGGACGGTCGATTTCCGAAAATGGAAAAGTGCGTATATATTTCTGTCCCAGTTAGGGGGTCGGCGTCGATATGGATATAGCAATTCGACTAGAGTCTTGAGCTTAGCCTCTGACCTTGCTAATCTAGAAATGATCTGTGATCTGCGGTGTAGTCGACTCGAGGCTGCTTCTAAGAAAGCGGCCCTCAAAATATTTCGCCGCCGCAGGTTAAGAAGATGTCCACGATCGTCCCTTGAGTCCCAGTCTGAGGGTAATTCTGGAAGTCGGAGAGTCTGCCGGTCATTTTGTGTATAGGTGGCATGGAAGATGGGCTGATTGGAGGTAATGGATGATTCTATGGGACACAACTCCCCAGTAGCATGTTCAGTTTCGTCCTGATCTGAGAGTAGATCATGGTTGGCGCTTATTCCTTGACCTTCGGCCTCGTGGTTTCCTGACCCTGCTTTGGGTTCCTGTGTGCCATGATCGATCTCGTTGTCCTCTAGCTCGCAAGGGGAGTTGGTCGCATGGTTGCGCGTTGAGCATCGTACCGTGAAGAAGCATCTTGGAGGGGAAAGTGCACTGCGTTCTGATATCTGAAAAGCTCGGAAACGCAGTGACGGATATAACATTCAGAGGCCTGCACATCAGGCTATGACCACTGAACATGAATGAAGGCTCCTTGAAGCTCCTTGATGTGTAATACTTTCGGTCGGAAATTTGGAGACCTCAGGGCCTGGCGACCCGTACTAAGTTAGTAGTTATGTATGGTATGTAAGTATCAACCGGTATTCTGGATTACAGTCCTGACTAAGCTTCGGTCACGACAATCGACACTCAACCGAATGCATTGCTATTTCTAAATACATAACCGCGCATGTATAGCATCATGATTCATTCAAGCCACTGATAGCCTCTTCAACCCTTCACCATGTCCTCTAACCATGCCAGTCTCGATGCCGCTTCTACAGATCGCAAAGCTCGCTTGGCAAAGCTCGCATCTTTGAAGCGCAAGCAACCTGAACCGGTAGCTGAGTCAGAGGCAAACAAAGAGCCAGTAGAAGCGGCGACCAGAATCAACAACAAGACAGATATTTATCTCTCTGGTCGGAATTTCGATGTCCAAACCAGAGGGCCAAAGCTAGGATTTGAGAATGCGCCAACATCGGGTCAGATTACATTGGAAGAACGGGCTGCATCCATAGCCTCGAAAACTGCGGAACAAGCGAAGAAGGACGAGGAGGCTGCCGAGAACGGCATTGACCTGTTCAAGCTACAGCCCAAGAAGCCAAATTGGGACTTGAAGCGCGATCTAGATGAGAAGATGAAGATCTTAAACGTACGCACACAAAATGCGATTGCACGGCTAGTCAGAGAGCGCATAGAGAAGGCTAAGAAAGAGGCTCAGCTCAAGAATAACGATTCTACTGCAGGACAAGACAAGGAAGGAGAGGAGGTGGGAATTGAGGGTAACATCTTGGTTGAAGGCGTACATCTTCGAGAGCGCGAAGAACAGGAAGACAAGCGAAGGGAGCTGGAGATGGAAGAAGAAGACAGCTATCACTGAAGACCGCTATGTATGAGCGATTACTACTGCATCATTACCCAAAGCTTTATCAATTACAGGAGAAAGAGATTAATACTGTCGCCAAAGAATATGCATAGAGGATCGTTGGCACCCTCTTGCTTTGAGAAGCAGATTGATGCCGCACAAAAAGGATAATCCGGAGAAGTTCCGACATCACGAATACTGTCTTTCATAATCCTCGGCGCCGTTAAACGTCCTAGAAGGTCTGGTGTTTTTCGCACCAGCAACCGGGTTGTACAAGGAGATATCATGCCTTGCCAAATAGCGCTGAACCTGAAAAGTTGGTTGCCCATGCGTGTCACCGTCCCACGTTCATCGCTTGGGTTAGCGCAATGCGCTTGCTGTATGGACTCAGGCTTCTCTCCTTTCGCTTTGGTGTTTCTTGTCTAACCCGAGAGTCGCGATCGCCATCCCATTGACCCTTTGCAAAAGGTCTGTTCTCTTGGACACGCTCAATGCGTCGATGGCCTGAGCGGTCTATACCCATCGGTGCTGGAGTCATCGACTTCCGCCCACGTGTCACACGACTTTGATCCACGCTGAGACTTTGACTTCGACTCCTGCTTCGATGACTACCACGACGATCTGCGGTAGGTCGACCTCTCGGCTCAGGGCTCACCGTTCTTCGTCGTCGTCTGCCATTGCCATTCCGGCGTTCATCTATCGAGGACAAGTCGGACCTCGATTCGCTCAATGATGAGCTTGATTTGCGACGCCGCTTTCGATCCCTGGATGGATATCTAGGAAATTCTGCGTACTCTCTTTGCGACGTGACATATCTGTCGTCGCTGTCTCGTCTAGCACGTTTTGGGGAACGTGATCGATCTGTGGATATCGTTGACACCGATTCAGTGGAGCTGGATGAAATCGACCTAGATCTTTTACGAGCGTGAGACATAGATGGAGGAGGACTGGTAGAGGGACGATCCAAGGTTCGACCACGCTGTTCAGCTTTCTTTGCTAGCTGCTCATCCGCGACACCTTCCCTGCTGCCGTCAGCAATCCTTCTCAATAGTGTGGTTTTCACTTAATAGGGAAAGATGCACATAATCTACAGCGAAGTACTGCTATTCAATTCACGTACCTGCGTAATAAGGCGTTCGGAACATCACTTGTAAGCTTCGGAACAAGTGTGGGATTGAGTAATTGCTGCGTTCTCGATGGTCGCGAAACGTAGGGCCTCTCTTGGGTGGTCGCTTTACATTCATAGCTGTAATGCCGTGGGGAAATGTTAGATTTCATCGTCCAAGGCAGATTACTGAAAACGTATCTTTCTTCAGGCACTTTTGACAAACTGTAGTGGCAGAGGCCTTTTGCTGGCCAACCAGCCCGGGTATTGTCCTGTAGCGATTCATCGTGATGACCGACGACGACGTCTCTCCGGTAGAAATGGTTCCTCAAAGGAAATACAATGGAAATATGAAGCCTTATTCACACTCCCCAAACTGATATAAGCGATGTTTGAAGCTGGTCAAGGCCAAAGCTGGTGACTGTAAAGGTATCCAACACGTAAGAGAAGGGTATATGGTCAATTAATTGGTCTCGGTCCTATCTTCGAGATTGCAAATCCAGCTCTTGCCTGGGAATTCATGGTTACCAATGGCATCACAGAAGGAAGGCTTGACTCCTGTAAGCCTCGATCCAGTAAGTAAATTTGGCGGTAATTTTCAACTCGTACTGTGTGTGACCGGAGCTAGATATCAATGCCAAGTCTTCTCACCATCGACTCCACCTTCATGCTCTTACAGTTCTACTAGAGGAGATATTGAGCCGCTCAGGATCTCCGGAGTTGCTACAAGCTGCTGCTGCTTGAATTGACGGATCCCATTGATTGCGCATACCAGCCAGTTAAGAGAACGGTCCGCCGTCATGGCGAACCGTGTTGGCTCACATGTCGTCCCAATCTCAAAGGTACTTACCATAAATCTCTCCATAGGATGATAATGGGTGGGCTTTGCCAACTGTGCAGGCTCGCATGCTCCCCTTCTGTTCGCCCGTTCTGATATAGCTTGACCAGAAATACACGGTCGGCAGCACAGGCATCTGGGAAACGATCCGCAGGATATTTGCTATTGATCCCAATCGAAGCAGCGGCATACCCCTCAATCCTCAATACCGTAACCCACCTCCAGGCGCTTTAGACCCGAAAGGCTACGACGATCCAGTCACACTTCCCTCAGCGGATATCGCTGACAATCCATACTGGAAACGAGACGTGCGACGGAGTTATCCGAGGATCAGCGCAGTCACTCAGGGGGATGTCGTTGGCCTGCTAAGTGTAGGCAGTGCCGCAAATCCGAGCCCGAAGCTGTTGGCTGGAGCAGAGGGCTCGAAGCAACTGGTGGCGGCGAAGAAGGATGGAGAAGAGAAAGGGTTGGCAACGTTCTTTCAGCAGCAGAAAGCCGTGGGAAGTGTGCTGGGAGAAGATGGTATGCCGCCATTCCCAACACCGGGAGGGGGGACCCAGCACAGCAAGAGGTATGAGCTGGAAGAGGAACAGAGCTATGAAAATCAGTGAGTCACCGGCACAGAAGCCATTGTGGATTAGACGGTACTGACTCCTCTACAGATATCCGTGTAGGAGCTTCTCGTAGGGAATGGTATGAGGCTTCGCGCGTTGATAGACATTCTCCTGCAGTTCAGAGGTGTCCTGATGTCACACCTATTGCCTAGGCAGTCATCATGTATATAGTTCAAACGATTCCAAATGACTTCATCTAGCAATTTCCTTGGCTGGGGTCTCTTGTCTATGTCTATCTGTTGCTGCTATGCTAGCGGACGATCCCCGACATCCTGTTCTAACCCTACCTTTCCTGTCTGGTTCTTCATCACCCAGCAGCTTCTCCCTCGATCTCCTCTCTTCTCCGTGCTGCCTCTTCTCCGACCGCTTTCTCCGCCTTCTTTCGCTGTCTCTCTGCAAACACCTCTCGAGCTTTAAGAATCCTGTCAACGATCTCGCCTGCATTGACTTGCTCAAAACCATGTGGCTGCACTTGTTTGAAAATTCCCATGTCCTTGGCGTCAAGATATGGGTCATATGTCAAAGGCATGAAAGTGGTCGGGCCATGGTAAACTGCCGAAACCTGGCCGAATGGGATGTTCTGGAGAAATGCCTTATTTGGGCTGAATGGAGCCGAGAAGATGACTGCTGACACGTACTTGCACTGTAATACGCAAAGGCCACGCTCGTAGATGTTCATGATCGGATAGTTTAGACCCTTCCAATAATTGATGACACTGTCATCGTGCACTCCAGCCACAATATAAGCCGCGCCATTCTCACTTTCGTTCACCTGACGTAGGAATTCGATGTGTCCGGAAGAAAAGAGATCAAACCCGCCGTCCACATAGACGATACGTTGTCCAGGCAATGGGCCGACACCTTGTACCATCCTGGTGAATGAGCCTTTTTCAGATTGTCCACCAACAACTTTGGCCGAAGAAGATCCTAGCCACGTCCAGACTTCTGGGCCAGGCTGGAGACCACTCTCATCTGTAGCGTAATCCCGGATTCGCTGCAGCATTGTGGAACCAGTCGCAACCTTCTCTTCGTCGGTCTCTGACCCCTCTCTTCCTTCAAGGACATCGGTCAAAGACCTGATGAAATGAGTTCTAGTACACAGCAGCATCCTACCCACCAAATCAGTGGTTGAGATGCCTGGTGTACGCTTGACAACCAGAAACCGTCCAGCAGCTTTCACAAACCTGTAGCAGTCCCCGCCGTTGCTATCAGAAGTGATATCGTCTCCATGGACAACATACCAGCATCCATAATGTGAGATCCAGGGTAGAGACGTGACATAAGGAGCGTAGGGAACAGATAGAGTAGACCACCGACAAGCATCCACTGCCGCTACCCTTGATGTAGATCAGCACGAAGTGATCATGGTTCACCGGACCCCGGGGCCACGGACCGTTCTTGCAAGGTCATGACGGTTGGTCCTTTGTTCTCGAGGATGTCCTCATCGGAATGAATACCAACCAAGAGTTCTTTGCCCAGGCGTCGGGCTTGAAGCATGGCTCCAGCATGACCTACCTGTATCAGCTTCTCCCTGAGTTGCGCTTTCTATGGCTGAGTGTTCACCATGATGGCTGAAGTCGAAACATCCGTCAATCCATATGCGGTCTTTACTGATGGGTTGATCTTCCTGAGGAGGAACTGGCCAGTGTCCAGGCTTTGGGGCCCCTTCTTCATTGACTGAATCCATATTTTGTCTCTTTATACTGTAGATCCGTTGGAGACGAATGTAATAAGGCGTACTTTGTGATTAAGAAACGGATATCATTTGCTGTGATGATAGATAGGTGCTGTCTATCTCCCACGTCAGCCAGTTCTGCCACGATGCTGACTAAAGTTGATGACTGAAGACGCCCCGTCTGTTGTCCCCTTGTCGCCAATCCCCTGCTGGATCCCTAACTATTCTGTCTGACAGGGTCACCCATCCCACGCCAAAATCATCTAAAGGTCACATGTTCTGGATGGGACTGCAGCGTCCCGCGGCGCAAATTCACACCGAGTGTGCGTCTTGGATGCACGGCGCAAGGGGCTGAAGGCTGGAGGCTGAAGATGGAAGACTTGTTCATATCTACTATGAGTAGGGATGCGGTTTCCAGCGCCTCCCGAAGCATTAAGGATGGCAGCACCTCGGGAGGATTGCTGTCCAAAGCGTCCAACTCCCTACGGCGCTCACCAAGCAAGAAGCACAAATATCAATCGAATCCTCTCCCTTCCCTGGATCAGATCTTCCACGAAACGCACAAGCCAGGATCATCCGAGCCTCACCCTCTTCCGCAGAAAAGGCCGGATGTCTACCGCACACAGACAGCACCCTTGGCTCTCCAGACAAACAAGCCGTCCTTGAAAGAGGGCAAGATACCTCAGCCGGCTGTCGAAGGAACTATGCTCGTCACGTCGTATACAAGCAGTCATAGGAGAGAAACCCCCCCTCATTTGAGCAAAAGCGCGATAGCAGGGCCTCAGAACGGCGAGCATGTGCACATCTCAGGTAGCGCAGGAGATGCTTTACCTCCTGCGCCCGCACATGTAGCAGGAAACCAGAACTCAGACATACTATACCAGCATATTTACGACATGGCGAGCAAGAGGATCTCTACCCTGGATTACTTCCGAAAAGCGTACGCTCCACTCTCTCATCATACTGCTTTCGTAGCACTTGTTCCGCGCTGACCTTCGTGACCTTCTTCCAGCCATGAAGGCCGTGTCTTCTGGTTTAACACAGTCCACTTCTCCCGAACAGACCTCTCCAAATGGCCCAACTTCACCGCCGCTAAGCTATCTCGGCGTGCAACAAACTACCTGCTCCTTGGCCTCTCCATTCCTCCAATCCTCGATGTACATTCACAGAACAACTCAGCAGCATCCGCGGCAGCCAATGCAACGGCAGCATACGATTTTCTTAAAGCTCTAAATTCCCTTCTTGGAGAATTCGAGTCATATCAACAGATTCATCCTCCAGATGGTAGCACAGCATCGACCTTGAGTCGAGCCCGCATCCCACACATGTTCAAACGAGCCACTCACGCCACAACCAGCAGAACCCGACGAACCTCCTCTAGTGCCGGACCAGAAATCGGTCTCCCTCTCCAGCAAAGCTCTGCCTCACATTCCTCAGACCCCCAACGCCATCACCACCATCACCATAGCAGCAACTCCAGCACTGGCACCACCGTAGACAGCAACAACAACAACACAATCACAGCCCTCCATCCCAACCTCTCTAGCACAAACCTGTCCCTCACCGCTCCCTCTTCCTCCCAACCAACCCCCACCACAACAACCAACTCAACCAATACCGCACCCTCCAACCCTCCAACCACCAGCAGCACATTCCCCTCCTTCCCAACCCCTACAGCCAACCCCTCGACCCTGGACCTGAACCTCCCCAACTCGACATTAACAGCCTCCGAAGGACCCTACACCCACCTCCTCACGCCCCCCCTCCCCTTCGCCCCGGATTTCTACACCGTCTTCGCCACCCTCTGCGACGTCCTGATCGACGCCTACCAGCGCATCCTCGGGCTGATCAACAGTCCCGCCGTGTGTGTGCACGGCACCGCACAGGGCCTCGGCGAGATGTTCGCCAAAGCCGATGCGAGGTTACGGAAGGTTATCGTCGGGGGTGTGGTCCGGGATTTTGAGGGGGGCGCGAGGGAGAGCGGGAAGAGGGAGGTGCTGGGTGTGCAGAGGGTCGTTTTGGGCGGGTTGATGGGTTGATGGGGTTGGATTCTTGAGATGATGATGAGGTTCAAGAAAGGGGGAAAAAAAGACCATGGGTTCAGCAAGTTGGAGTTGTGCATGCATATGGGAAGTTTGAAGACTATCCGCTTCCTGTCCTCAACCCCAGCACTCCTTGGTGGCTACTAGTACTGGATGGCGCCCGTGCGTTGCATAGCGTGTGTGATGTCTCGGTCTTTGACTCGGCGGATAGATGTCAGAACAAATTAACGAATCGAATCGACGCTTACCAGAGCCTCGACTGGCTCGCCCATCAATAGGCTGGCGTGGACGTGGATTGAGATCGGTCGGGTAACGTTAGCTCTGGATGGGACTGGAGCTGGAAAGGGCCAGAACAGAGCAAGATAGCTAGGTCAAGCCACGTCAAGCCTGGTCGAAAATTCACCCCACTGATAACTGCCTCTTTGACGGCCTCCGGTCCTGCTGTTCCTGACAAGTCAGAGATGTGGTGGTGACGTTGAGGGATGATCCCTGTGTAACTTGATACTGTGTACGATATTATATTGGGGATGATCGAGTCAGATAGTTGCTGTGTACAATACTATGTATGAAAAAAGTAGCAGCTTGATTGACGAACGCGTCATCTGATACAAGTCTTAAGAGGATCAAATGTGAGACAAGGTTTGATAGTTTGATGTATTCTATTTGGTCTGATCTAATGTTGTACAGATAGACGCAGGTATATTGGGTATCTCTAGTTATAACGACTCTCGTTCCAGCTTTACTTTCCGGCTAGATGTATCTATCTGTGGGCCAGATGACAGGACTTGTGCGCTATGCCGACCGAATGTGCTCTATCGGATTTGGGTATGGAGGCGTAGTAAAACGCCGGAGTTCGATGATGCTGATGAAAAGCGAACGGTTGATGCGATACTATGCAATGGTGGATCTCTTTTTCCTCATCTTTTGAACGCCAAACGCTATGCGGGTAAGAAAGGATGCGAGTTTTTGGAATCGTTGCTGGTATGAGTCGTCAGGATGTGAAAGGAGGAGCAATGATTTGGAACGGTGGAGGATTTGGCGTCAATTGCATATCTCTTCATGCAACCATCTGCTGCTGCTGCCTCAACTCTAGTTCCCGTTGTTCTCCAAACACTCTCCTGCTCATCTCCAGCACGGCCTCGAATCCTTCTCGTCCTCTCTTCGCGTTCTCTCGAAATCTCTCCACACTCGCCTCTTCAATCTTCGCCTTGACTTTTTGCCACCCCCCACAGAGCGCTGTGATCTTAGCATCTTGACTGAAATCCGTCTTCCTTAATGGGTCCGTTTTGCTAGGTTGGTAGGTCACCGTTTCTCTAACACTCAGGACATTACTCCATGTCAGATTCGTGGAGCACATTGTGACTTTCTTGCTGGCTGGATCCACATATGATACCTCGTAGACGTGCGACGTGGTACCGCCGCCCAGTAATGAGACTACCCACTGCGGTGCATTTTGCTGGCAGGTGATCAGACGCTCTGTTCGGAGGATACCGGTGTCGGGTTCAATGCGGCGAGAGAGGGTGTCGACCGCCATTACGTGAGGTGATTTGTCGTTCCAAGGGCAGTATTTCCGCCAGTTGGCAGTGGACACCTCTTCCCATGAGTAGTCGAATGTACAATCTGAGGCGAATACTTTCATTATAGTAGATACGGAGACGGAATTAGAACGGTAGAGGGTGATGAGCTGAAGGATCACAATTTGTGGTCGAGTGTTGGTTTTAACAATCGTCGATTAAGCAGGAATCAAGGACAACTGATGGCTGTTTGATAGTTGTAGCCGCGTCAAATATCTAAAGGTCTGTCAAAACAGTTGACGGGATGCGTGATGTGATGGAAATGATATCGTGAATTCTGTGTGGCAGTGTGTGCAGCAAGTTGTGAAAGTTTTAAAGCTATTATTGAAGAGTCTGGACTGCAGCAAAATTTTCGTCTGAGAAGGATTCCCAAGTCCGATTGGACCCGATAACCACAAAAGGAATAGTAGATGACCGCACCCAGGCCGATCATTATTCCGTCATTCGCCAGACTTCGATTTCTCCTTGCATCTCCGGGGAAGGTGGAGCCCAGCTGCCCATTTTTCATGCCACTGGACTCGATCCAGTCTCCATCGCCTCCTTGGACTACTCTTTCCTTCCGTCGCAAAAGTGGAGCAATGATGCAAACGGTCACACGATTAATATGGCACGGGCACTTGCAAGCATGGAGCCTGTAATCTATCATTATAGGGCCTATATGCCATATTAGAACGATGATGGTTCGTGAACTTGGGCATTGAACGATCATGGGCGAACCGTGCTCTGCCAAGTGAATTACCTTCTCGAAGAAAAGGAATGGCTACTTCGTGAGTAGAGAGATATGCTGCTCAACAAACTTAGGACGGGATTGTGCTACTAGTATTTGACCTGGCGGGCACCTTGGCCACAAAGAGCATATCACCTTACCTTGAGGCTACGAGTACTACTTACTACTCACGATTTGGCAGCATGACCAGTCCCTTCCACTTACTTATAGCAAGGGTTCGAGTCTTGCACGTTCGGACTTTCACCAGTAAACCCCATCGAGGTGAGGATGGCATAGGTTTTGCGATACGTGACATACTGAGATTCGGGACGAGTCTTCATGATAAAGACTACTAGAATAAAGAGCCATGCACGTGTAGACAAGATAAATAATGGTTGATGCTAGCTTACTGAGCTGTGATACTTGGGGTACCAAGTTCCTATGCTGATGGTCCCAGCTGCACATGCTGATCGATCTTTTCCGCCGAGTCTGCCACCTCGGCCGCTGTGTTGGCCGTCTGAACTTGCTCTGAAGTGCCTTGTTCATGCAACTGCTGCTTCGGCGCCTGTTCAATCTTAGCTGCCTCACTTGTGGACACTGCAGCCGCTTGTCCGTTCAGGGAGGCCTTTTCTGCATCTGCCGATGCCACTCCATTCTCCGCCATTTGTTGGGGAGCTGCCTCTGCAGCGAAAGTCGTCTGGTCTCCCTTCGGCAAGACGGCCATCACAACGTCGACAGTTCGCTGTGGACCACCTTGTTCCCAGGCGGTAATTTTGCCGGTCTTGTCGATGACGATTACGCCACGGCTCGTGCCTTTGGGCGACTTCTTCAAACCGATAGCAGAAATGAGCTTAGCGGAAGGATCGCATAGCAGCGGATAAGGAAGCGATTGTTTAGTTGCAAATGTGGTGTTCGATTTTGGTGAGTCAGTGCTTAGGCCGTAGACTGAGAGGCCCGACTCAGTCAAAGTAGAATAGTTGTCACGGAAGAGACAAGCTTGCGTTGTGCCTGTTGCGCGCAGCTTGGACGTTAGAAATGACTAGGTTTGGGTACAGAAAACCGTCTTGAGATTGTCGCTGCTGCTGAGAGAAGAAATGTGCTCTTCGACATAAGTACCACCATCCATCAACAAGAAAGCTGCAGAGATAGTATTTCGAGGCAAGGCTGTAATATCACAAACAAACCAGTAGGTGCACAATACTCCTGCAAAAGCATGTAGCAGATTAAACCCGATTACAACATCGTCGATCATCAAGACGGAGTGCAGCTCCTCAGAGGCTGCAATACCAGACCGTTGGATCAGATGAGAACGAGACATCAACAGCAACGTGGCCGTATCATGTCTGTAAAGATGAGGAGCGAAATAACAACAAGAGATAATACTCACAACCAGGTGTTGAAGCTTTAGGATACGTAAACAAAACAAGGCCTGCCTTGCTGTCCTCGAGAAGTTTCTTCAGATTGGTCTTCTCGCCGGTATGAGTCTCGACCTCGCCGCCAAATCCATCAAGAGGAATGGTGTCGCCAACTGCCAGTTTCTCAATTCCGTTTGTCGCTTTGGCTGGCGCATCAAGAACTGCCTCTTTGGCTTTGTCGACAGCCTTTTTGATAGGGTTGGAGTTCTTTTTGGCGGTAGGGGGCGGTGCGGGCTCGGCAGCAGCTTTGCGCTTCCGGAGCTCAACCATGGTTGCAGCAAAGCAACAATTGAAGGAGGATTTTAGAGAATGCTAGCAGAAATGCAAATGGAAACGAGTGTAGCGAGTGCCCTTACTAGAGTAACATGCAGCAAGACGGCTTGTGTAGATGAGAGCGATAAGCAGATTTCGATATAAAGATGGGGTTGATCAGGGTCGAGGGATGTCGTCGAGACAAGCTGTGATCTCCACCTGCAGCGTTATTGCCCGATTCCTTGATTTGGTAAGACCATTCCTGACTGGGCACAGCTGATTTGATGGGGGGTGGGCACTACGATCTGACGCAAGTGCATTGTGATTGAGCATCAATACTCCGTAGCCTCTCTTCGGCGTGTCAATCGAGATTGCCCACCCGCCCCTCGCTTTGATGCGCGGAGCTGTTTGAGCCCCCCAATCGGGTAAGTTATTAGCCATCAAGCATTACTGACCTTAATACGGAGTACAGAGTACTCTGTACTACAAGCACGAGTATTCTGTACCGCCAACCCTCCATAAGTTCAACTGAGACTAAGATCATTTGCATGGTTGAAAATAGTTCCCTGCCACCATCCAGAAGCCACCACTTGCTTCATAAAAGACAGACCGGCGGGTGGGAGCTGTTCGGGTGCACCATACGGAGTACTCCGTAGAGCCCAGGCTATTAAATGGGATGCTTGCTTGGCGAGAAGCTGTTTATGTAAAAGGAGGTTGGGTCATGCAATGCAGGCAGTGGTTTGACGTTGGTGCCAAGCCTTCTCTGCCCTAAATGCCCCCTAAATCCAAGTTTAGCATCAATCTGAATTGATGCCTAAGGCTGAACCTTTGGTCATGCAGGTAGCGGTGGTGCTTGTAGGCATTTGACATGAGAGCAATCACCTCTGGTACGACTGCCTTGTACGGAAATGTGCGACGTAATAAGAGCTACAAAAACAACGGAAACTTATCCAATCTCCCTGACCACATATCAGACAGCGCACGTCATTTTCTCTATCTATCCAACGACCTGGACGTCACCAATTAGGTATGCAACGCGATGCGCACGCCTAATAACTCCCATCTCCTTATGCAAAATCTTGATCCTGTGGAGGAGGGCTTCGATCTCCAGGCCGTGCAGCAAGAGCCGGCGGCGGCCTCCACGCTGCAGCAGGACGAGGGATATTGCCCATTATTCCTGCTCCTTCACGTTGTCGCCTCGGCGGAGTCTGACCTTGCCTCTCCCTTGGCGGCATTCTGACTCCCTGAGTGTTGCTATGCATCTTCTGGTCTTCATACGCGGGGCCTTCAGCTGCACCGACTACCGCAGTTGGGTCACGCTGGATCTTTTGCGGCCCCATCATCTTCAACCTTTGAATTTCGGCTGTTGCCCTGACAAGCATACGTTTCGTGGCCGCCAGCTCCTCTTCTGTACGGATGGATTTAGGACGCCATTCACAATTCGTTCCATCGCAGTACCGTGCCCCAGAATGAGCGGAAGGTGGCATCCGGCCATTGGATATGTTCCTGGGATCCAAAGCCCTTAGCCGAGACTGTGGTGAATTGAACTTGCGTGGCGGTGGTTTAGCCATGGAGCCACGGGGTAAATTATCTTCGCCATTTGAACTGTTCTTGGGATTCAAGGCCTTAAGTCGAGACGGTGATGTGTTTGGCTGCCGTCGTGGTGGTGTTTCAGGCATTAAACCATCGGAGAACTCAATTTCATGATGTGGATCACTATTCTCCTTGGACCGTGACTGAGCTGGCCGCGCCATTGGCATTCTTCGCTTCTCTGGATTCGCACTTCCGGCTGTGGGGCCTGGCCGTTGAGGTAACACATCTGCACCACGAGGCCTCCCATTGTCATCATGACTCAGCGACGGGGTTCTCCCTGCGGGTGTTCTTCGTCCCTCAGGGTTCGAACTTCCAGCTGCTGGTGGCGAAAGAGCAGTGGAGCGTTCTGATAGATTGACATCACCGCTTGACTTGCTGTTGTCCTGATGCGGGACCTGGGCAGTTCTTGGTGGCGGCGGACTTCTTCGTTTCTCGGAGCTCAGGCTCCCGGCTGCTGGCATTCTGTGCTCTTCACGAGTAGTAGGAGAAGACATTATAGAGAATGAGCTTAACGTTGAGCCGGAATTAAAGAAAAGACTCAGTAGGGAGGTTGTTTGGTTTGCAGCTCAAGGTAGCGCGATGGATGTAATTCAGTATGAACGGTACCGCAAGGAGAAACGAATAGAAAAGGATTATCAACACGGTGAGTAGCAGAAAAAAAGCAACTTGAGGAAAGAGATGCTCTTTTGAACTATGAATAACCTTGCACAGGGCCCTACCTGAAGCACGCTTGTGTCGTGGGTTCAGATGGCCACACCTGTAGTTGCGTTGTATTCACCAAATTAGGTGACACAATGCCTCAAGATCCTGTTGGAGCGCTGCTCGGTCATGTACCTCTTACACGTTTCATGTTCGAGTTGCAGGTCATTTGTAGTGTTGGCTGTGTGCTTGCCGGTATCATGGGGCCAAATGTCGCAGGAGACTTGTCTGACTTAAGTATCATCCGTGTGGCTGGGACGATCTGCCTTGGTGCTGTCTTTGGTGAATAGCTTGACAAGAAGTCGAAATCGCAAGCGCAAGAGCTCTGAAGTGCAAAAACCTTTTATATTGAATTTTTGTGATCATTTACCAGAAATCTTGAGGCGTCTGTCTCTCAACACCAGATGGCATTTTGCACCAGTTGATGTTCTCGCCTGAAACAGCTACTGATAGGGACCCCTGGAGGCAATACTCTGAGGCACTCCCGTGGCGGTACACGAAACATCTTTCGTGAAGCAGTAAAAAATTTTCTGCATTTACTGGCAGTCCTAAGGTAATTGTGCAACTCAGCAGTCTCAAGCGTCCGGCGGTTAATCATCCGCACCCATTTTCTTAAACTTTTTCAAGCACTCAAGTAACTGCACAGCTTCAAAAAAAATTTGTGCTCAATTGATAGTTTTAACCATGTGCACCTCAAGCTGTATAGTATTAATCCAAAACTGCCTTATCTGCACAGTTCGCTGCGAGGATTCAAAATATGCAAAAGTGTCATAGTACTGCATTTGTCATGTCTTCACTCTGCTTTTGTTCCTCAAGTGTTATAACAATAAGTCCAGAAAATCTACCGCTCAGCGGCCAAAGTCATAATAACCACGACAGTTGGTCAGATAACTTTCGGATGTTCCTGTATAGACTGACAGTTCATACACATTTCATGCGCGAGAGGTATGTATCTAGTACATTTACTTAGGGTTGATTAGGTATAAACCGAGAGCCCGATAGCTGAGTTGCTGGGGACTTGGCTTTAACCGTGGCTCCTGCCAATCTAGCCACAATTGGGCTCATCCACTACACTAGAACATCTCCGCAGTCCCCGTCGTCATTGGAGCTAATTACTGAATTTCTTTTGCGGCCAAATGTCTCCGATCTACAGGCACACCTACTATACTCGATACTCGTGATGAACGGGACCGTTTATGATGATGATGATGACGACAACAGATCATCTGTCGTCCAGAATCAGGCAAGCAAAAGAAAGGGAGAAGATAGCAGTGGAAACCACACCCGCGCGAAGCGGAATCGTTACATCTCCATTGCATGGTAAGTTTGATGCCACCTGACCATAGACATTCTGGCTCACTTTGCTCATAAGCAATGAATGCAAAAGACGAAAGATAAAGTGCAACGGCAACCAGCCCTGCCAACGATGCGGCAATTTGTCCTTGGAGTGCATTTATGCTCCGAATTGCTGTTCGACCAGTCTCAAAGATTCCACGTAAGTTACGTCGGGAGCGGAGAAGGCTTCTTCTGCTAACACTGGATAGTGAGTTCCAAGATATGAGGATGCATATCGCATCTTTACAGCAACAAGTCGATATGCTATTTGCCAACCTCAATTCGCTTCGACAGCACCCAAATACTTCTAACTGTAGCCACGAGACAACATACCCTACCAGCGAAAACCAAGTGTTACCGACAAGCGGACAACTATCCTCGATTTCTTCGCCTCACCGACAGCGGAGAAGCGTCCCGCGGTTTCATGGACCCACCAGCTCCGCATACGGGTTTGACGTTGCAAATTCAACGTTACAAACCATGGGAATCACCCAAGGATCGGCAATTGATGAGGCTGGTATGCTCGATGACAGAACAGCAACAGCTTCGCCTCTTGGCCTCGTCTCTCCCCATACTTCCAAAGATCCGCTCTGGTCGATAAGTCGGAAAGAGGCGGTAAGACTTTGCAGAGTCTACGAGGAGGAGATTGGCATAATGTACCCAATTTTTGATATCGAGGCTTTGATAGAGCATGTTAACAGGCTGTGGACTTTTCTTGAGGCCGCATTGAAATCTGGGATCGGAAACATGCCGGGGGCTGACACCATAGATGACGACGAAACTAACCTGCTAAAGATGATACTGGCGGCTGCGTTGGTTGTGGAAGGCAACGGACAAAGCGATCTTGGTCTGAAGATTTTTGATTCGTTGAAGCCTGCATTGACCGCGAGGTTCTGGGGTCCGACGGACACAAAGGGACTATCGTTGCTATGCGTTGCTGTAAGAGTCTCTGGGTCCTTATGGACCGAAATACTCCAGTCCGGGCTGATTCAATATCTAGGCCATGTATTATTTCAACAGAGGTGACGAAGGTCAAGCGTGGCGCCTTATCGGTGTTGCTGCTCGTTCATGCATTGAGATGGGGCTTCATCGCAGGGAATCATTGTTGAAGTCCTTCAATAACGAAGCGGAGTATGTTTCTGCAACAAAGCTCTTTTGGATTGTCTACGCACTTGATCGACGATGGAGCTTCGGAATGGGCATGCCTTTCGCTCTTCAGGATGCGGATATTGACCCAAGCCTACCAGAGCCTGTGAGTCGTTGCACGTCACTGATTGACCTTTAACTTACACATTCTATCCTAGGATGGTTCCAGCCCCTATCTGCAACAGATCACGAAATACAACCATATCGCCTCCAAGATCTGGTACTATAATATTTCGCATGAAACCGGCCCTAATGCCAGGGGTGATGATATTGGGTTCCTCGACTATCAACTATTACAATGGTACAAAGACGTTCCAGAGAGCTTGCAATTCAATCGAAGCGAGATGGCCAGCGAGGAAGCAATCCCGAATCGTGGCCGCCGGCGATTGCGGTTACTGCTATATCTGCGTGCAAACCAGGCAAGGATATCGATTTATCGGCCGATCTTGAATTCCGCAACCAGCATCATAGAAAATCTCCGCAATGCAAGGACTGTTGTCGACGTGGCCAAGGACACAATATTAGTGTTGACCCGAATTAATCAGACCACTGATATCTACCGTACTCAGCAGGTATGCTACAATTATTTCTTAGTGCAATCGCTTGCAGTCATCTTTCTGGCGGTAGCTCATGCACCTGCCGAATTTGCTGGAGGAACTCGTGACGAGTTTTATGCTGCCCTGGATCTTGTCAAAGGCTTCAGTACGAAGTCATATATCTCGAAAAAGTTATGGCAGACCATTAGAGGCCTAAGGGAGGTAGGTGAGAAAATCGGCCTACTCGCTAGGAACGGTCACTCTGCATCAGACCAGGAAGGGGAGGTTGCAGACGCTCATTCGAATGCTGCCGTAGCAATGGCTGGTCTTGCTGGGCATCCCATGGAGGAACTTGCAATGCTCAATAGTGGCCTAAGGAATACCGCTTCGGAGCTTGGTGCCAGTCCACTGGATGGCCAACAACTCACCAACGAGTTGACGAATCTGTTCGAATTGGCGGGGGGATATCCCAACTTCATGGGCTCTTCGGCGAACGGAGATATACTCAATGGTTATGCTGGTACAAACAGTGAAAGTCAGGCAGGGGCAGAAGGGATGAGCAGCGTCTTTGGGAACGAACAAGAATTCTCCAGGATCATGGGCGAGCTTTTCTGATTCTGTTCGATACGCCCTACTTGTAACATGCGGTCTGACATGTGTGCCTCGAGCACCTATTTACTCGCGATAGTGGACCAATCGTGTAGAGCGAAAGTAGGCAATCTCAATGAAAGATATACTGCGTGTGAGTCGAGGTGACTGGTTGTACTTACTGTAGGAGGTTCCTCCGAGGCCCGCAGCTATGCAATTAATACTTTTTCTCGGGAGCACTCAAGAGGGGCTGTGTATGAGAGCGCTTTTCATTCTCACCCACCGGGCAGGCGAGGATCTCGAAACTAAAAGTATCCTGCATTGCTTGTCAAGACAACGCAGGCAAAAGCCATTACGAAGCGTGCGCAACTTTCCGCACAGATTAAATCACTGGTGCCTTGAATTCCTAGGGGCATCTATCAGTGTGTACGCCTTCGACATTCGTCTTGACCCGCAGATTCTCTGCCGCTTCTTCGTTGAACTAAGTCCTGCGATTATGTCTTGCTGCGCGAAACCGCCTTGACCCTACTCTAGACATCCGAAGAGTATGACCTCCTTCAAACCGCCGCCGCAAACTGTGGATCAGGCTGGGCGAAGACCATATTACGTACCCAACTCTCCGAATCTACTTCTTTTGGCGCAACTGAATACAACTTTGGAACCACAAAGCATTGAGACTTCTGGAATTCGACACACCTAAGACGTGCACTGAATTTTCGGTGTCTGCAGGGGAAGAGAAGAGCGCTCCACTGCTGGACACGCTGTTATTTAAACGATATCTCACCAGCGCCCACAGGCCCTGCAAGGCCAAAGCTGGACTCCACTTCAGCTTCCGCAGATAATCTCTTTTCCGCATCACCGACTTCCTCGGCAGAAATGTCAGTCACATCTTCACAATCGCCGGAGAGCTGGATCTCATCCTTCTGCTCGCTGATAGGGCATGAATATTTTGCAGAGGTCAGTGAAGACTTCATAGAGGACGACTTCAACCTGACGGGCCTACAATCCCAAGTCCCTATGTATAAAGATGCTCTAGAGATGATCTTGGACGTCGAGCCATCAGAAACAGGCAGCTCTGCCATATCAGACGAGGAGGAAGAGGAGGAAGACGACGGGTTACTGGGCGAAGAACAGGATGAGCTAGGGCGACGACGGACAAGCCACGAAACAAGAAGACATATGAGAGCCGGAAGCGATGCCTCAGTGATAGAATCTTCTGCTGAGCTTCTCTACGGCCTAATACATGCCCGCTTCATCACTTCTCGGCCCGGCATACAACAGATGCTTGAAAAGTACGAACTCGGCCATTTCGGCCACTGCCCCCGTGTCTTCTGCAGCGGCGTAAAGGTCCTCCCAGTCGGCCGAACCGACACCCCCGGCCAAGAAACAGTCAAGCTCTTCTGCCCTGGATGCCTCGATGTCTACACGCCTCCCAACAGCAGGTTCCAAGCCGTGGACGGCGCCTTCTTCGGCACAACCTTCGGCTGTCTATTCTTTATGACATTTCCCGACCTTGACCTCAGCCCGCGATCATTGCGGCACAGAACGGCAGAAGAGGACTCATCAGCCATCACCACTCAGCAGAACAACTCAGACACCATCGTCACAGCATCGCGATCCAGTTCATTAACCTTACCATCCGCCCCCGGAATGCCACCAACATCGCAGATTTACCCAACGCGCAAAGAAGAGCCTATCATCCTACCCGAACAACCCGCCGTGATTAACGGAATGGCGACCTCGAATGTGGCGCCGGGTCTAGGAAAGGGCAAGATCTACGAGCCTCGCATCTATGGGTTCCGGGTCTCGGAAAGGGCGAGGGGTGGACCGAGAATGAGATGGTTGAGGAGTAAACCGCTGGATATCAATGAGATCGATGAGAGTAGGATATGGCATGCCAAGTATGGAGGGGACCCGGATGGCGATCCTGTGGCGCCGGTCGATGAGACAGCAGGGGAAGGAAATGGCGATGGCGATGGCGATGGCGAGGATGCGGTCATGGCGAGTGTGACTGGTCAGAGTCAACAGACAGAAGGAGTTAGTGTGCCGGCGGGACAGGGACAGGGACAGCAGGGTGCAGCTGCAGCGACGACGGTGGCTGGGAGGCGGAAAGCTCCTATGCGGAGGAGTAAAGGGAGGGGGAGAATGGGGGAGGGTCTGGATGGCGGCGGAATTGGTGGTGGTTGAGTTTATATTCTTTTACTTTGCCTTTTGATTGAATGAATCATAGAATGGGGCGGGATAGTTGGAACGACTGCGTACGTACGTGCTATGCGTAACGCAGAGATCGAGATCAAAAAACGAAGTGAGCGGGCTGGTCTCTACATACGAAGCAGATTGATATGACGCATGAGTCTCGGTCTCGGGTATCCGTGCTCTATCTTTTCTTACTTTTCTTGATGGGTGATCTTGTCATATGCTTCTGTGGCCCCCCCGAATGAACTTTTGCAGAGCCTGCTCTTTCCGTCAATTACTAGATCATACTCTTGGTCTAAGATGTGATGAGAGAGTTTCGCTGCGAGCATAGGGGAGAGTGGGCATTGATGGTTGAGAGGAAGAGGATGGTTTGCGGCACATAGCCCACCTACTGCAAGACAGGATGTGGTATCGTCAATGGGGGTTCAAAGGTCCCTTGAGGTCTCAGACTGTGCTTTCGAAGGACAAGGTCTCTCTTGCTGTGGTCAGGTTGCTAGCAGCGAATTCGAAAGTGACTGATGACGAAGGAGGGGGGGAGGCCTGATGATCTCGACATGTTCTAGTCTTCTTTGTCAGCCCTGCTTGGACACGAAACATTGTCTCTTCTCCGTGAAGGCTCTTACACCTGGTGCTGATTCGTTTCATGTTCTGCTCGTCAGTGTTTACGCTAAGGTTTTCAGAAAACACAGCGAGAAGATGAGGGAGAATGCTAAACTCTCGGGTCAGCTCGGCTGAGATCAAGCTTCTATGCGAAGTAGTTATGGCTTACTATCAATGATTAGGGATGTCTTATCTGGTCCCACGCGGAAGTGGTTGTGTTGTTTCATTCATACCTTGTTGAGTCTGCTAGGTAGCTGGCTGACTGGCTCTCCTATCCCGGAGAATTTAAATGTCAGTGGGGTATGTGGCTGAACGATCATGTTGATGACTATCCATGCTGAATCGGTAATGGGACTGAACCATCAACGATACTTGGCAAGCTACAGCTGGTAAAACGTAGACATGCAGACGAAAGCCACGGAACAGCCGCGGACCTGAGCAGGAGACGCGAGATGAGCGGCCCGTCATCTTCGATTCTCCCTGACATGGTACTGGAGTATTCGAGTACCGGCATCGTAGCTACTACTGGTGTCCAACCTTTCAGACCAGCCACAACTACAAGTGTTTGGGGCGCAGTCAAACGGCGGCTATACATTAGCGTCCAGCTAAGGGAATCCTAAGATCCGAGATAGCGCTGATGCACAATCTTAAGCTCGTTTTAGGGCCAATTGCGCGTACGCACAAGCCACTTACTATGTAGGTAATAGGCCACAGCAGTAGGGGACGGTCCGCGAGCTAATTGTGCTTGAGGCAGGGTTCAATCCCACCATTAGCTCAGCCTCATGGGGCAGATGCACCTGCATTCGGATGACTACCGTGCCGAGCAGGCTTATACGTATAGAACCTTTCTCATATGGGTTGGGTACGAGATCCATTTACTAGGTTGTTTGTCTGCGGGAAGGCCTAGCGGATTTCTAGATAGTACTACTGAAGTCCTTCAGATAGGCGGCGATGCGAGCTTTGGGGTCCCGATGAGAGCCTCTCGCCTTGACACGTGTACGAAGTAATACGGAGGCCTACCCGTTAGAGTTAGTGACTTGGGAACTGACGAGAGGAACAGTAGCATTGGCGCTGTCAGGGGAATCAAGCTTCACAATTGTGTAACTCGAGCATGATGTAGAGCTAGGGCAATTGAAACAGTTGATAGAAGTTTCATACACTTAGCAGGTATATGCTTCGGCGAGCTACTTCTGATATTTGGAAAGCTCGACATTTGCGCCATGTGGTGAAGTAGATAGAAGTCACGCTACCCTGTTCAAGAGCCAACCAAGTGGTATGTTCGTGTTTTGCGATGGTGAGGATGCCTCAGAATCCCTAGCTTCCATCTGGCCTAGCTTTCCTCACCTCCATTTGCTGCAATACGCACAAGGAAGAGCACGTTTCAGCATCAGTCAGTGCTCCAATTGCCGAAAACAGTTCGAGCATGCAGGAACATGGATGATGCTGTGGTGGTGGCTGGTGCACGGGCACTTCTGCGACTATTTCGTTTAGAGCTAAAGGCCCATCTGTTGTTCTTGATTTGGACCTGCAGGCGGGTATTTTAGTGCTTGCGCTAAAATCTTACGGCCTCCGCCCGCTCCTCTGAGAATACCGTCAACTATTCTACGCTAACACCGTCACGGCCGTTGGGCCAACATGGCACTGTTCGGATGTCTATCTTCCATCTGAAATCAATGTTACGCTGCGGGGGGCTCTGCAGCTTTACAACGGCCACGACAAAGCTTGGTCCTTCTTCCCGCCCTAGTAGTGGTAGTCATTGATGTCAATATATACTCGTGTCCAGATGAACTGACATGATGGCACCGAACATTGCAAAGAATCGTTTAGTCCAGCTTTGCTACTGTGACTGTGACTTAGAGGCAATACTCGAAGACCACACTTGTGATTATCAAATATGGACAACACCTATTTCACCGATCCTCAGTACAACATGTCAAATGTCACTCGTGCTTCCTATTCAAAGAGTAGCAGTGCTACATGCGCCAATGCCAAACCGAGTGAGGACTGGACGAAGATGACGGACTTAGCAGAAAGAAGGAGAGTCCAAAATAGAATCGCTCAACGCAACTATCGTGAGTCAATCAGTGAAATCCATCGGAAGACCCTCTTGCTGACTAGTTCTGTCAGGCCAGAAGATGAAGCAGAAACTGGACCGAGCAGGAGAATATGAAAGACGTGCAGCTTCCTCATCCCCTCCAACAACCAATGCGCCGCTGCTGTCGAGCCCAGAAACCCGAGACAGAAGCTCGTCGACTGGTGCATCTCTCAATACAAGCTTTGCGCCTCATTCGCAGATGTCTACGTACCAAGATCCATTTGGCCAGCAGTACGGATCAGCGTATGACCCTCAGTTCCCGGCAGGAAGTGAGGCGTACTTGAAGCAACCGATGGCACAAATGCCGACTTCCTTCATGTATCCTGGGTACCCTCAACCTGTTTCAGCTGGCTACGCGTCTTTCCCTCAGAACACCGCCTATACAGAGATGCGGCCTATGAATGTGCCATATCCCAGCTCCATAAATCAAGGGCAGTATATCGGTCACGGATCAACCGGGACGACTACTACCGGACACCCCATTACACCAATTACTCCTACAAGTCAGGTAGATCGCTATCCTCAAGACGCTGGACCTCTATGTGGCATGGATTCTACAGGACAATACGGCAATACTCAGGTGTCGACCTCTCAAGCCTATTCCGCTTCGACTACTTCAGTAAACCACCCTCCTTTCTTTCGTCAAAACTATCCTTCCTCTTGATTGATTTCCCAAAGAGAAAAAAAATCACAAAAATCACAGACCGGCCATTCTCTATATTTCTTTCTTTGAGCAATCCTTCAAGTCATTCTCCATCGGTCAAAAGCAGTCAAAACGAAAAGCTGACCCCATATATCATCGACAGAGTCCACTTTCCTCATCCCCACATTCTTCCTTGAGGTTCTCCTATGGTTCGTCAAAAGGAGAACTGCCGCTTTCACCACCTCCTGAAGACGCTCGATATCCTTAACTCAAGACACTTCACTCGGGGCGTTCTACAACAACCACACGGAACGTACTCGGGAGGACAGGGAATCAGCCAGCATCATCCATCGATCAAAGCTTACCCGACAAGCAGGAACATACGCTTGTGGGTCAAGGGAATGTTGAGCAAGGAGAAGGCAGCTACAAGTCAATCCTTTGGACCTAGTCATTGCACTCTTTGATCATTTTCATTTTCATTTTCATAAACCCCTTCTCGGTCGTCGGAGTAGGAGTTCAGATGGAAAGATCTCCTAGCTGTACAACATGACATTCCAAAATCGATCCTTCAAATTCGTAACGCTTCCAGTTCACCCCTGTTTAGATCTCGATAACCCACCCGTGAGCTGTAGGATATCATACGCAATTTGTGAAGTGTCAGCTGTACCTTATTCCCAGCCGGGGACGAGACACCACTTTGCTAGCCCAGATTCCTTCTTACCTGAGACTTGTAACTGCCGCCTAAGGAGATATAAATGCTTGGCAGTCCTCCTACAATACTTAGTACTTGTCTCAAATTTTAGACTCTTCTTTAGCTCCGACCTAAGACGGTAACTAAGTCTTAGTGGGCGGTCTAACCGCATTCCCTGAAAGGTCGTAGAAAATTGGCTCCTCACTCTAGCGTCGGCAGCCATCCACTAAATTGACCCACTGAGACAACACTAGTACTTGGCAGGAAGAGAAGAGACCCTCTCAAAATAATGTTAGGGGAGCCATCAAAGTGCGCTTGGACTAAGTCTAACCGTAAGATAACTTAGAGAGGATACCGCAGCTTAGTCGTCCATGATCCAGTCAAATCTTATAATCCACAACCTATATTACTAAAAATATGGTCACATTATGGTCCAAATATGCTTCTCTTATCATACTGGTATGGTGGTCATTTGACAGAATAGCTGTCATCTTAGCTACCCCTTCTCCTGGTAAGTAAGTTGGGTTGGCCTTCTCTAGTATGGAAATTTCTAAATTCACTCTTCACTATCCGACGGTGCCTGACTCCTTGTAGCCCAACTGACCAGATTGCAGCAGGCATCGAAAGCGGTCATCAACATCATACCTCACAAGAAGGGTTCGCATCAGGCGTAACTGGCGCCTACGGGATGGGCACCAAGCGCAAGTTGCTTTTTGGCGGTGATCTGTCTGCCTCTCCCGGTTGGGTGTTGATTGATTTCCTTGACACATGCACCTCCCTCGGTTGTGAATGCGGTGGTGGTGATAACCAGTACTGACGGGAAGCTTGCGTGTAGGAAGTGGAACGCCAGTGAGTGGACGGCGAGTGATGATCGAGTCCGGGGGGGAAAGTCACAGGTAGGCAGGATACATCTTCTTGTAAAAAGCATTCTTGTCATCCATTTGTCCTTCTATACAATGTATAATTGACGGACAGTCATCACGTCTTCTACCTCTCCCGGCAATCACGTCCTCATTTCATGTCGATTCTCACAGGCTTAAATCCATGCGAGACCAAAACCTTCGAGCTACCCCTTCCCACCATCTCCCTCTTGCTCTCCCTATTCTTATTCCAATGCCTATTTTTAAATCACCTTCCCCTTCCCCCAAACCCCAACACCAACCCCTCCTCCCCTCCCGCAGACCACAAACTCACGTGCCAAGTCCTACCTAACACCGATCCCAACCGACACCGCCCTCGCCGAATTCCACGGCCACCTCGACATCACAGCCCTCGGCGGCGCCGGATTCGCCTCCCAGCGCACCACCTCAGCCACCACCACCTGGGATCTATCCGCCTACGATGGAATCAACTTAAGCATCGAAGACGGAGACGAGAAGATGTACACCTTCATCCTCAAGGACGAGCTGTTGGATCCCGATCCAGAGAGCGGGAGGGAGCGGGCGAGTGTGAATTGGGAGGTTGATTTCAAGGTGCCGGAGAGGAAGGCTGAAGAAGAGGAGGAGGAGGAGGAGGAGGGGGTGGTGGATGGGAAGGGAAGACGAAAGGGAGGTAGAGCTGGGGTGTTGTATATACCCTGGAAGGACTTCAAGCCAACGTATAGAGGGAGGGAGGTGAAGGATGTGGAGAAGCCAATTAATCTGGAGAATATTAGGAGGGTGAGCTTGATGACGAGGAGGTAGAACCCCCCCCTCCTTTTCCTCCTTTTCCCCAACCCGCTCCTTCTCTTCCACGCTCTTTCACCGTCCATCGCTTCAGTGTCCTATACTGCCCGTCTTCTAGCTAGACCTCTTCACACGTTCTATTCCTGGAAACCAGGAACTCATCCGCTGACCCGCTTTTCGATCCGACAGTTTCTTCGGCACGCAAGAAGGCGATTTCAGCTTGACGTTGCGGTCGATTGAGGCGGTCACGGTGGACAAGGAGGGGGAAGATGGGTCCGTGTCAGCAGGGAAGGCAGATGGGGATGGCGAAGATCAATACTCGGACCCAGGTCAGGAGTATTCAATACGCAAGCGTTCAGGAGAGCTTGAAGGAGGAATGACCGCTCAACAACAGCCCAGACAGAGCTGGCTGCAGTGGGTATGGGCAAGGTGCTTCAATCGATAAGCACAACCCTGAGCTAGAGGGCCGATATAGGCACCGTATGTGGGAGAGAACCCGGGGCTTCACGCCTCCACCAAAACCCTCGTCCAATCAAACCTCCTCCACCTCTTCTTGAACCCCTCCACCCTCCCATCCTCCCTACTCCACCTCCCCTGCCTCCTCACCACCGCGGGATCCGCATCCACCATGCCGGCGACCACCTCCCTCGCGAACAGATCCCCCTTGGGCCACTTGGCCGGATCCTCCACCACGTGGCCCATGCCGCCGTCCAACTCAAACCACACATGAAAATACGGCATCTCCTTGACCAAGCTGCGCCGGAAAGCCAGCTTCCCCAACCCGTCGCGACTCCGCTTCAGCGTATCGATGATCTTCCGGTGCTGGGACCACTCGGCCTCGCTGCTCAGCAACGCCTCGCGGAAGAAGGCCGGCGCCGTCGCGCCCGCGCTCCGCGGCAACGGCACCGCCTCCATGCTCGCGTGGCGTTTGCGCTGCTGCGCGTGCGCCGCGTTTTCGTAGAAGATGACATCCCACCCCCGGTCGTGGTAGAGGCGCGTGAGGGATTTCATGAAGTTGCGCATCTCTTCCCATTCGTCGTCGTCGCATTCTAGGAGGTTGGTGCGGTGCTGGATGGGGATGATGCATGCGCCTCCGGGTGAGACTTCGGGCTCGGTGGGCAGGGTAATGTAGGTGCGTGTGGCCAGGGACACGACGGGGGCGAGGGGTGGCGTGTGCGTGTCTTCGTGGTGGCAGAGCGGGCAGGTGTCGAGAATGCGGTTCATCTTTTGGAATTCCGAGATGGTGGTGTTGCGGAGGTTGAGTTCGGATTTTTGCACGCGTTTGGCGAGCTTGCTGGCGTTGTCGTCCATGTATTCGAGCTCGTTCGAGTATCCGCCGTCCTTGGCGATGCGTTCGGCGAAGCGCTGGCTTTCGCCTCCGGTTTGGTGGCGTGTCCGGCGCTCTTCGCGTACCATGTCCTCGATGGTCATGTCCTCGTTTTCTTCGAGCTGGCCCCGTTCACGGCCGCGGCGGTTGCTGGCGGATTGTCCATTGCGCCGAGGACGACAACGTCTGCTGCGTTGTTGGACTTTGTAGCTACTGCAAGGTTGCATTCTTCTTCAAGCTTTGCGGCTTGAGGGTCTTTTCGCAATTGGGCTTTGAGGAGTTGAGCTTTCAGCTTGTTGAGTGACGTCTGGCTCAGAGGTTCGGTGTGTGTTTGCGGCTTGCCCGTTGGCGATACTGTGCCTTGTTCTGGTGGTTGGCTGCCGTTCCTTGGAACCTTTGGTTCTGGAGACCGTCTGATGCCTTCAGCCATCTTCCTCTCCCGGAACAACTCCCCGCTTGGCTTTTCCTTGCCAACGTAGTCGGCTCCATATGTTCGACGCCGCTCCAGCTCAATTTCTTCTTCTCGAGCGTCGTCAAATTCCCGAAGGTCACCATAGCGCTCTAGCGCAACATCCTTGACTGTTCGCCCTGAATCATCTGCTTGCCGATAGGTTTGCTTCAACTTGGTCATCCGCCATTGCGATCCAGCATCGCCAAAGGTGTAGCTGACTTCATGCTGGGTAGGTTCTTCCGGAGCGTCACCCTGTGGTGTGGTATTATGTAGATCTCGCAAATGATGATTCAGCTCCTTCTCATGAATTTTGAGTTCAAAACCGGTGCCCAGCGAGGTCGGCTTCGGAGGAGATGGCGGTGGCTTGCGGCTCTGGACATAGTCGATATCGAGCGCCGTGGGCGCTTCCATCCATGAGTCGCGCTTTAACTCATTGGTTGGTGATGGTGTTGTCCCTTCCGGCGGAGAATCTCGATTCCGACCCAAAGCCTCTCGCGTATGATGCCGGTGCTCATGAGTATGCCGTCGCCTATGATCATCTCCATCGCCATCGTGTGACCGCCTCCTTCTTTTACGTCTGTGTTCATCTCCTTCGTCATGCCCAGGGTCCCTGCGCCTTGATGATTGATGGTGTCGGTGACGGTGTCTGTGCTCGGATCGGGCTTTCTGACGATCCTTGTGCTCATGTTTGGTGCTGCGATCCTGGCTTTTGCTTGCAGCTAGATCCTTCTCGAAGTCTTCGAGCGTCATCTTTTATGCAGTGAGCTTGTTTGCATATTGAACAGTTTGTCATCCCTGAGATGTCTGCAACTCCGACCAAAGTGAGAAAGAAGCATAAACCGATATCCAACTTCTTGACCCAACGTTACGCCAGCTGATCGTTGATTAAAAGTGTATCGCCAAATGGCATTGCCTTAATCACAATGTCCAGGGTGGACCTTGACACCATCAAGATTGCGGTTATGGCGCTTGCTGCGGATACAGTGGTACTCACACTGGCACCAGTAATCTAGAATTCTTGGCAATAATAGGCTACTCCGTACTCCGCATCTAGTTAAGTGCAAAGGGTGTTTAAACCGGATCAGGCTATTTAAAATGATCATCATCATACCGCCTAACTGGCCATTCCCGAGGCTCGTCAGGCTACAGACTGCGCCGCTCGCATCGAAATATCTAGCTTTGCGGTCTGATATTAGTCTTGTTGGACTACGGCCGATCTTCTCGGCTGGCAGGATAGCATACCGAGTAAACGAATCGAAGATGTTCAGGTAAGCTGAAAACAGCTTTGCGATGTCTCTCTGTCCTCTCTGCGAGTCTATCTCGCTGTGTAGAATGCGCGGCCCTAACCTCGATCGAATGCAATGCCACCAGCCCAGCTACCTCGCTCTAAAAAGGTCCGCTGAAGCCGGCTGCCGGCTCTGTAGTTTCTTCTGGGCGGCTCTTGAACGAGGGGTGGGGAAGGGACCACATCATAACCGTATCGCCCTCTCCCATGTTTCAGAGCGCTACCCTGGCCGGCAGATCTCGCTCGTGGCCTGGGGCGGAGCTGACCGCAGTCTTGACCGAATACATGTTATTACCACAGGCGAGATACCCTCGCTGTCGAGTTCATTCGAAGCTGGAGACGAAGACGAAAATACCACCGTGGATCCGACCATGCATCCCGATCATCAGCTTGCACTGGATGGAGTGGTTGATTTGTACGCTTATCCAGGTAACGACTAGGGTACTCCTGATGCTTGCAATCTCACTTACTGATAGATACTGTGAAGACGATCCCGCCGCGTGGCTGGGTGGAATAACTGGTAGGCAGCTACCCAGAACTGCTGGCAACTCTGAGGACGATTTCCAATTAGCGTGGAAATGGCTGAAAGATTGTCTAACCAACCACACCATCTGCCCCAATGGCATCACGAAACCATCACTTCCCACCCGAATCATTGACGTTGGACCTTCAGATGGGTCAATTGACCCATATCTACTTGAGTCCGATGAAAGAAAAGGCTTATATATTACATTGAGCCACTGCTGGGGTGGTATGGTACCTCTCACCACCACCACCCTTACGCTCGAGGAAAGAAAACGATCGATTCCCCTTGCATCATTACCAAGAACTTTTCGAGAAGCAGTAATTATCACGCGGAGGTTTGGTATCCGGTACATATGGATAGATTCTCTTTGCATTCTGCAGGACTCGCAGACGGATTGGGAGAAAGAATCGGCAGTTATGGGAGACACCTATACTTTCGGCTTTATCAACATCGCTGCAAGAGGCGCCTTAAATGCTGAGGGTGGCTGCTTCATTCCAAGGGAAGCGGAGCCACCGCCCTGCCTCGTGAAATATTTTTCTTCCGACTGTTCTATCACAGGCTCCATGTATATCCGGTCCCCATCCTTTCAAGCTGAGCGACTCCAGGATGCACCTTTAGACAGGCGCGGCTGGGTCCTCCAAGAGCGACTTCTCTCACCACGTATTCTTTATTTTGGACGTCAACAACTGTACTGGGAATGCGCTGAGACCACCTTCCGCCAGGACGGCAAGCACTGTGATGTTGCGACCGATGGTTTACGCCTACATTTGGATTTTAAAGCGTCCGTGGTTTTTGATGCCGCTTATCCATTTTCTTCCGGGAGAACACATGCACAATATGACCAACAGTCCGGGCAAGTTGGAGTAACCGCAAGAAGCTTCATACAGTGGTATAAGGTGGTCAGGCAGTATACCCGTCGGGACCTAACCTTTCATACCGACAAATTGCCCGCAATATCCGGCATTGCGAAGGCATTTCAGGCCAAAACGGGGTGTACCTATATTGCAGGAATATGGAAGGAAGACCTCATTGCGGGCATAGCATGGTATTTGACGCAACCAAGCCATGACGTCATATGTATGTCACTGCCATCCTGGTCGTGGGCGCGCATAAAGGGCGAAGTATTCTTTCGAAGTCTTAGTATTGCGGAAGTGAAAATGCGTGACAGCTCCTGTCAACTGGTTGACGTGGCTCACAGGCTTGCAAGCGGGCTTAATCCATACGGCGATATTTTAGATGCGAGATTGAAAATCCTGGGTCGACTCATCCAAGTTCATTATGAAGCACTGGAACTATCAGACGACATGTTTAGTTTTGGACCATCCATATTCGCGCTGGATGGAAGACCAATCGGTCGAGTTTCATTTGATACGTTGGCTTCCTACCCCGATAATGTGGCAGTGTTCTTTTGTCTCCTGTTATATAGCGACGACCATAGGGCAGCGGCTTTGGCCCTAGAGCTGGAGAAAGATCATTGTGAAGCACTTTACAGACGAATCGGATACGTCAGCGTTGACTCATCACCAAGTGGGCAGCCCGATGGCAGAATGCCGTTCTGGCAGTCGGAACCCCAAATCATCACAATCTTATGAGATGAGGGATGGGTTGACGGGATAGAATAAAAGACACAGTGTAGTAGCTTTGTCGTGCTTATACTGTCCAGCGTGATCAACTGGTAGGGCAACCAGCTTGCTGTCAACTCCGTCTAGCACGAGCTCAAAGGACATTGAAAGCACTGTTTCTACATTACCAGACTCAGCACCCTTTGCACCCAGATGTACAGATTATCCGTACTCCGTAAGGCACCATAAATGTGGCGTCAAGACGTCATGAATTTTGTATGTGCCTAGTAAGGCTATTCAATAACTGACCCGAACGAGCTGCTTCTAGAATAATAACTCTTAACTTAAAATGATGCATATGCCATCCAAATACTTCGCCACTTGATCCCCGTACTCAAGCCTGGAGCGCGAGTGCTTATCAATGACCTTCTCTTACCAGAGCCCAACACAGCATCGCTTACGACTGACCACGCAACAACCATCATCCTTCCCAAGAAAAACTTGCTCTCCATTCCCATTTTCGCCTACCCTCCCCCTCACCTCTAAAAAGACCACCCAACACGCAGCGATAGAAGCCATGCAATCCAAGCTCCTCACCCTCTTGATGCTCAGCCTTGCGGCCCTCAGCCTCGCCGCTCCAGTCGCAGAACCGAAAGCCGAGTCCGAGGCCGGTAAGGTCATATTCCGTACCCTCACTTGACTAGTCGCACTTCCGTGCAGCGTCTCTTCTTGAACTCTTGAACAAAGCGGTTTGCTGATCTGTTGGTGGCCATGTCAATTCAGAGGTTGTGCCTCGGGTTTACAATGCTGAGGATGTGAATTTGAAGGCTATTGGTTCTGCGTACTGAAGCGAGAATTGGGGGTGAAGGTGGGGAAAAGAACATGGGATTTAGAGAGGACCTGTCATGGAAGATGCAGGGAAGGAGAACGGTATATAAGAGCTAAGTAGGTATACAAGTAGTGAAGTGGAGTATTGGAAGGAATGTGCAGATCTCGATTTGTGCACAGTGGATTGCTAGGTGCGGCAAATTTTGTTTGCATGTATTTTGCGTAATTTTAGTGTGGCGATTCACCAACCAATGTGGTTACTTTGGGACTCGGCTCGGTGCGAACGAAGCGGAAAGGCAAACGCTCATACGGACCCCACCCATTGGGTCACGGCTAGTACTACGTAGCTTCTCTGATAGTGCACAGGCTAAGCCACAAAGATCTCGACATTTCACGCTACTAGTGTGGTACTAGCCGAAAGCTGTTGATCCTGCAATACTACGGTAGGAGGCATAAATAATGTTAGTTCGCCCTAGTAGCAACTTGTAAATGCCAAGATAGAACGCCACACATTCACCTGATTAGGACTAGTCTATTTCGCTCAGAATCAAGTGCATCAATGACTGCCTGGCACCTTGCTGGCATTGATTCAAGTAGCTCTAGAAGGAGATAGCCTGATAAACTCTATAGAATCCATAAATATATATCGAAATTTAGCGAATTATGCAGAAAGAGATAGAATAATAGTAAAAGAGGCTGAACGCGTTGAACGTGTTGAATTTGTACAAGTGCAGCAGGGGTATCTGTAAGATACGTGTTAAATGACAAAAGTACTAAAGCGAACTAACATTATTTATGCCTCCTACCGTAGTATGTACTACGGTACCTAACAAAGTATTCCTAGCACGGCGCTAGTATTTGCCACTTCAAACACGATGGATACAGATAGCCCTGTGATCTTGTACGGTCATTCCTGCTGATGCTGGGATTAAACAAAAAACTAATCCTAACTGGGCAGTATCTAGGCACCTTGTCCTTGATACGGCAAGGTGCTGATACCTGGCGTTATAACTCTACAAGGCCTTTCTAGCGCCATGCTAGGGAAACTTATGCCTCCTCCTGTAATAGCAACATGTGGACCATTCTCCAAGCCTATTGCGTAGTAGTCCGCCGAGAGGAGCAGCTTTTCCACAGCCTCAGGCCTCAGCGCTGTGCGGAAGCTGGTGAGATACTTATCAAATCCACGCAGCACAAGCAATGTGGGTTCTCCTCATAGGAAGCAGCCGCGTTGACTCCACATCGGATTTCTTCACCCAAACCATTCGCGCCCTTCCAAATCAACTGCGCTGCATTCCAGACGGCGAAATTGGCAATCGGAGCAACTTCATTTCCTGGCAAAGGCCGACATTTCCTATCACAATACTGCAGCCACGCCGGGGCGGCCAGCCTACTGCAGAGAGCGCAGCCAAGCAGTACACCCTTGAGGACATCAAGCCCACTGGATACGACGATCAAGCCATTGTCTCGTATGCTACCTTTTGTGAGCTGAGAGACTCTGGGACGATCCCAGCAGGAGTACGGTTTCAAGTATCGCTTCCGACACCGCTCTGTGTTGTGCGTGGACTCGTAGAGGACGACAGAGTATGCGCACAAGTCGAGCCATTGTACGAGCAGCGGCTGTTGAGCGCTCTCCGACGGATTCAAGACCATATTCCTGCATCTGATCTTACGATCCAATGGGACATCCCAATCGAAATCGCGATGCTTGAGTACAACCGGCACCGCCTTCAGGACAAGTACTGGAAACCGTACTTCACACCCGTGAAAGCTGGCATACTGGACCGCTTGACCCGCCTCGCTGCCGCCGTGGATCTAGGCGTCGAGATGGGCTATCACCTCTGCTACGGCGACATGGGGCATACGCATTTCGTCCAACCGGATGACAGTGGTTTAATGGTCGAACTGGCAAATGAGATCTCAAAGATAATCCAGCCTAGTCATCCAATTGAATACTTCCATATTCCGGTACCCAAAGACAGGGTGGATGAGGGGTACTTCAAACCGATGCAGAATTTGGAACTCGGTGACTCGAAGCTTTACTTAGGACTAGTTCACGCAAATGATGAAAGCGGGACGAAGAAGAGGCTTGAGGCCGCAGAGGCAGTCCACCTTAATATCGCTGGAGTGGCCTCGGAATGTGGCCTGGGAAGGACGCCACGCGAGGACTTTGAGAGTATTCTTGAGATTTGTGCTACTGTGACTTCGTGAGTAAGACAATGTCTTGCAATCTTACCTGCAATTTCTGGTGCGTCGTTGGTGTTCCTTCCATGACTCCTGAAAGGGAGTCTGTCTCTAGAAATACTCTGATCTCAATTCAAATAAGTCTAACTCGTCGTATGCGAATAGATATCGTACACCTTTATGGCGAGTCGCGGATTTTCCCGCAAAAGCGCTTATTGCGGTAAATCTAACTATAGTCATTTAGTCTGCATGCTGTTTTTACTCTGTTCCCCGCAGTCTTTAGCTGTATCTCCGAACACTCCACTTATACCTGAGCCTAAACAGCTATTTTTCCGCAAGTCGCGCTGTCATGGCATAAGTCTACTCGTAATAATCTTTTGAGGATACAGCCATCACACCTAGAAACATGGCTGATCTGCCGGTGGCTGTGGTGTGCGTTGGAATGGCGGGTGAGTTATCTGATTTTATCCATTTCGATTCACTCCTTACCAAACTCCCAGGTTCAGGCAAGACGACCTTCATGCAACGCATCAACGCACATCTACACTCGAAGAAGCAGCCTCCATACGTTCTCAATCTAGACCCCGCAGTGTTTTCAGTACCTTTCGAGGCGAACATTGACATCAGGGACAGCATAAACTATAAAGAAGTGATGAAGCAGTACCATCTTGGACCGAATGGTGGAATCCTCACATCTCTTAACCTTTTCGCTACAAAGGTGGACCAGATATTGGCGCTTATGGAAAAACGATCCCGCATTCCACCAGATTCGAAGACTCGACCTCCCCATCACTTTCTGATCGACACACCTGGCCAGATTGAGGTATTTGTCTGGTCAGCCTCCGGCAGCATCATACTTGAATCTCTGGCCTCATCTTTCCCAACTGTCATCGCCTACATAATCGATACTCCTCGAACCTCCTCAACCTCTACTTTCATGTCCAATATGCTCTACGCCTGCTCCATCCTCTACAAAACAAAGCTCCCCATGATTCTTGTCTTCAATAAGACAGATGTGCAGGATGCAGGCTTTGCAAAGGATTGGATGACGGACTTTGAGAAATTTCAAGATGCACTCCGCGAAGAAGAAGCAAAGGGTGTCTTCGGCGGAGAAGGCGCTGGTGGCGGTAGCGGCTATATGAGTTCTTTGCTGAATAGTATGAGCTTGGTGTTGGATGAGTTTTACAGCCACCTAAGCATGGTGGCAGTGAGCAGCACGACCGGTGATGGAGTCGACGCATTTTTTGAGGCTGTTGAAGAGAAGCGAAAGGAGTTCAACCGAGACTACAAACCAGAGCTGGACAAACGGAGGAAGCAGAGAGAAGAAGAAAAGGTAGCGACTAAAGAACAGGAGTTGACCAAGGTTATGCACGATCTTAATGTCTCTGCTGCGCGAAGAAAACCGGCGGCCACACACGAGCCAGATGTTGATGAAGACGATGAAGATCTGAACGATGCAGATCAGTATCCCGATGAGATGGACGACGAGAAGAGTGATGATGATTTGTCGTCTAGATACAAGGCAGCTCTGAAGGATGCTGAAGGGAAAGGCAGCACTGGTAAGGAAAGCTTTGCGAACTACCTTGCGTCCAGTCAAGCGATTAGATGACAATGATACCCTGTTTTATATCTTTTGAAAGATGTGATTTCAATCATGGCTAAGTCTTGTGCTCCTGAGCTTGAAATCTTGGCGTTTGCTGCCGCAACCCTAATATCTTAATTTGGTGCTAGCGCCGACACAACTCGGTCAATATCACGCCCGCAGTATTGTAAGGTACATTGAACAAAGTCAACCTCGAAACTCCTTTATACGGTACCATAACGCCGTCAAGATGCTCTACATATATTCCCAGGAGATGCTTGCCATCCCTGAAGGGGTTAAGATACACATCAGGTCGCGCTTGGTCACAGTTGAGGGTCCTCGAGGTAAATCGTTTTCTCTCCCACCCGTCTACCAAAATATTCTAGTCTACAAGAGAGATCACGGTTGTGGAAACATTCCTGGTCTTCTGCTAATTCATGATACCTACAGGAAAATTGACGAAAGATCTTTCACATCTCGCAGTCTGCTTCTCGCTTCCTTCGCCAAAAGAAGTCTCGATCGAAATTCACCACGGCTCGCGCAAGAATGTTGCAACTCTTCGAACAGTCAAGACTCTCATCAACAACCTCATCATTGGTGTTACTAGGGGCTACAAATACAAGATGCGATATGTCTATGCCCATTTCCCCATCAACGTCAATATCGAAAAAAACAACGACACAGGGCTGTACGAAGTTGAGATCAGGTAAGGGTTAATCAGGGATCCATAGTTGAGCCGGTTATGGTTGCTGATTATGCTCAGGAATTTCTTGGGAGAGAAGATTGTACGACGGGTGACGATGCAGAAAGGCGTTGACGTGGAGGCAACCAAGGGCGTCAAGGATCAGATTGAGCTCACCGGCAACAGCTTGGAGGCAGTTTCACAATCGGCAGCAGATATCCAGCAAATATGCAGAGTGCGAAACAAGGATATTCGGAAGTTCTTGGACGGCCTGTACGTAAGCGAGAGAGGAAACATTGTGGAGGCGTGAGTGGGACAAGCGGACGAAGTGGAAGCAAATACCACCCTGACAAGTCGCAATGGAGGTCTCTACAGCCGAGGGGGGAAACGAGCCAATTACTCATGTTGAGTGGCTGCTCTCTCGAACAATCTCCCAATGCAGCTTTAACGCAGACACTTCATTGCCTTTAAAGGCTCACGATCTCGTTTGTGTTCCTACTGCCACGATATCTACACGGGGTTCCAGCCCAGGGAAAATCCCTGTCCTATCCTCTGTCCTTCTTGCAGTCTTGTCAGAGGCCGGTTTCTCTTCAGACATCTCTTACACACCCCAAGCTAACGTCTTTCATGCCTGGTAAAATCATGCATCACTTCAGCACTAGAACCCTTTCCTTTAGCCTCCAAAGTATATCCCCGGGACATGTTCTACTAAACGTTGAACAAGCAACGCTGAATCAGGCCATGTCAAACATCGACTGCCTGAGAGGAGGTAACTAAAACGAACATCTCGCCGGGATCTGTGGCTTGCGCTTTGCCGACAAAATCCTTCAACTCGGACCCGGCCTTGCAAGTGGTCGTAATTCGTGAAAGCCCTGTACCCCCAGCTGTGCTGTGCTGTGCCAAAAGCTACATCTACAGCGCGTAACTCGTATGATCTCCAAACAGTGATTCGGCCCGTCGCCGCAGATCCTTGAAGAACCAGCATCCTTAAAAAGCCCTACATACTACGTAGGCAACGGTGTGTGTAAGAGATGAGTTTCAATCCTGCGGGGGCTAAAAAAGAAAGAAAGAAGAAGAAAAAAAGGCTTGGCCATGAATTTGTTCCCCTTCAAACCTGCAACACCTCATGACACAAGCTTTTAGTATCTCCCCCGTACTTCAACGGCCATCTCTCAGATGTCTGAAAATGTTTTTGATGTTCGAACTACCAGACCGGAACAGTGCCCGCTTCTTGTAGCCTAGGCGGGGATTGATTGCATAGTGATTGTCGCTGCTATCCTTCCCATGCTGACACTGTCCTACTCGATGATACACACAACATCCTGGCTTGCACAGTGTTCCACTTCTTAGACTTTTCTACGCTTATTTGCCCATCCCGGTTCTCGATGGGTGTATAAGAACGACCCATCTTGTCATTTGCCCGTCTGGGGAGTTTTTTTTAAAAACCATCTTCACCATCTTTCTTGAAGAAACGACCAAGTATATCCCTGCATCTGACCTCAATTAAAACGTGCAATTTCCCCCCCTAGTTGATAGCCTATATCTCCTCGTCTTCCCATCGGCAAACGATATCCACACCAAATAACAACAAATAAAATATGGATCCTTATCATCTCGACCCCACCTCCAGCATGTACACCAACGCACCCGTATCCGTGTCCAGCCCAGAGCGGGATCGCAAAAGCACCCAAGAAGTGACTCCCTCCAATACCCCCCATTCCATCACACCCTCTTCCTCACCCCCTCGTATCAACTCCCAAAACCGCAGGCCCGTCGCTACAACCCCGAGCTCCACCCCCGCCGCCGCCAATGCACATCAGCAACAACACCGCTGGGCCGAAGGTACCATCTCCGCACTAGGCGAAGCTACTGCTTCATCACCACAACACAAAAATCTGACCGCGCTCTTTGAGCGGGAGAAGGCCAAGAATAAGGATGTGCAGAACAAAAAGAGTGGCGCCGGCGCCGGCGGCAGTAGTAGTGGCTGGGTAGAGAGGTTGAGCGGGGGTGCCAAGGGGATTGGGAAGGGGATAGAGAAAAACGATGAGAGCAAGGGAAAAGGAGGGAAGAAGGAAGGGGAGAAGAAGGGATTTTTTCAGAAGGGGAGGGAGGGCCTGTTGGCCAGGGAGATGGAGCGGGCGAATCCGAGCTTTTGGAGACCTAGCGGCTGATCGGAAGCGTAGTTCTTTTCCCATGTGGGTGGAAGGCTGTCGCGTCCACTCGACAAGGTGGTCTCCAGGACCAGAGGGTGTGGTGACGGGAAAGAAGCTGATTTGAGTCTGGGCATATTTCGTGAGAAGGTTAGCTTGCGAAGCTTGCTCGTAGATTTTAGATTGGAACAACCATGGCCGTTAATGATGAACATTTAACTCCAACATTTAGCTCCAACGTTATCTTCCTATACCAGTGTCTTCCTTGGTGCGGAAGGATTGACTTTGATTTCTTCTACAAGCCGAGCCTCCGCTCTTCCTGGTATGGCCTGTCCCGTTTGACAATTCAGTACTTACCATGCTAATAATGCGATTCCATGAAGGTGAAGAGTGTATTTCTGCATTCTGTCATGGCAGATTCTTACCATCCGTCCCGACGGGACCGGCTGCTCGAAGTACTGAACATCAGCCTCGAGATAGGGGCAACCAAATGGTTGACGATGATTATCAGCTCGGTTGCAGGTAGGAGGCCAGGGGATAAATTGATGAAAAGGATCGGTGCTGAATATAGGCATACCGTGCAGAACATGCTGGGAGCGTGGCAGACAATGATATGAAGCCCGGCTCGCTGCATCTGAGGCGTTGCAGCCTAGGAAGCGCGAAAAAACCCCAAGAATGATTCCGAAGGACGCAGCACAAAACTGCAAATAAGTAGTGAGTTGTAATTTCAGATCTTTCTTTTCTGTTCCTCTACGGTCCGAAACTGCTCTTCGACTTGTTCCTTCTCCAATCCATGGCTCCAGGTCCACTCGCACCGACCGCAGGACACCAAAGTATGGACATCGCTTTGGAGTTTGACAGCAGTCCCGCACAGGGATCTAGGCGGATCTAGCTTTTGCTTGAAGACTTATCAGACGCGAACGAGGGTTCGGTAGAGCATCCAAACGTTGTTGGGATGGCTTCGAGTTCGGTAGTCGTTGATCTTCTCTACTGTTCGTGTTGAGATGAAATGCAGGAGGAGAACACTTGACAGATAGTTTGGAGCTTCGGCTGCGGCATACAATCTTCTATCTGGCTGCCGTCAGGTGCCTTACGACCTATCAGAATGTGAGCATCGGTTGAGCTGCCTGAGATGATCAATCGTTTCCTCAATAAGGCAGAATCTAGTTAGCTGTCACCACCAGGCTCACCTGTCAATGCGAGGTATTTAGACCAGTAGGTGTTGCAATGGACAGCTGGCAACAGCATCTTCGGGTGGCTGCTCAAGTACAATAATTAGACACGCGATTCTCCTCCAGGAGAGATGATGAACTATCACCAAGTCAAGGGAAGCAACCAAATCCTAGCATAGGGATTCCCAGTATGAGCATAAACAAAGAATCTATTAAGCAGTACTACAGATTGTCATATCGTCTCCTTGATCCTGCAACGCAATGCAGTGCTACATGTCTCTTCTCCAAGCCATTGCACCAGGCAACAACATTGATGAAAAGATGTGTAAGAGCCAAAAAATACACCGGTCAGAACCCCGAAGGATGCTGAATAAACCCGTCTAGCCCGATGTGCAATGGACAGTCAAGTCTATCGTGAAACCGCATTCATGAGCGCGGCCACGCCAATAAGGTAAGTATGAAGAAGAAAAAAGAAAAAGGTTTAAAGAACGGCAGAGGAGGCAGATACTTATACTTGCGAGATAGGAACTAGTGGCTAGCGCGGTTGCTAGTCCATGTCTTGGCGTCAGCCTCCAATTTGAGGAGCACGTGATCAGAGGTCCAAGTTTTCGGTGCGCAGTCTGAGAAGACCAGAATCTGTGCTCCGTAGTACTTAGTACGACTAGTTATTAAGAGCAAAAGGACTATGTGTCTCTGTGTAAATCCTGACATGAGTCTATAGATTGGATGATACAGCCACCGTGCTACACAACCAGGTATTCCGCTTGCATTCAAGCTTGTACAACCTCTCTATAGACCTGAGTAACATGACGTACATCGTAAAGAGGCTAGAGCGAGGCCCAGGTTTATATACTGGTAGGACTTTTGGTAAAGAAGACGTCTTCCAATTGGTTTATATCATCTGTCCTCACAAGGAAGGTACTTTTGACATTTTCCACAGGCAGATCTCCATATGTAGATCAGCTCGGGGTGCTGAGTGTGGCTCTCATAAAACAACCACGTGGAGGAGCATGAGCTTGTGACTGAAATAGTGCCTTGCAACTAGATTGAGGAGGTGGGCAGTTAATGCGCCGGCTCCAGTAATCTTCCCACCATTAGCAGTCGTCTGCTCTAGTAAACTTTCTTCTTCTCGTCCACGCTCAGTTGACCAGGCCCCATGTTCACCAGGAGAAGTAGTCCGCCCCTAAAGACAGTCAGTATACATGTCCCTGACAGAAAGAAATCCAGGAGGTCGTCTTAAAGTGTGGCAACTTACACTATTGACAAGATCTGAAAGAAATCATACTTGGCGAAATCCTTGTGAGGATGATGAGGGTGTAGCTGAAATTCAATGTCAATCATCAGACGAATTCGGACATGACACTTTCAACTTACTGTCCAAAAATTGTTGACGAGAATGTTGAATATGCTCAGCACAACCACCAGCATAACAGCACTCGCTTTTGCTTTGAACCCCACTACAACCATGACGCATGCGACAAGGCCAAGCAGACTGACCAATACCCTCCAGAAGGACCACTTGCCGGAGAAAACAAATCCAATGAACAAGAAGATGAGCAATACTCTCCCGCCAAGCTGAAAGTACATCTTTCTGTCCTTCTCATCGATTGTAGGAAGGCCGGCGGGAGCAAATCGCTTCCGGACCCAGCTGTCGGAGAGCACCATCATCAGACCACCTAACACAGACAGGTTGCGGAGGAAAAAGTTCAAGTCAAAGATCAGACCATATCCCAATGCCTGTGTGACAACAACACCGCAAAGACCAGCAACAGCATATTCGGAGTATTTGCGGATGATGACGAGTGTAGAGCAGACGACCATGGCAATCACATTCACCAAAAGGAAGAGATGTGTGATTCCACCAGGAACTGTAGAAAAAGAATTAGCGAGGAGCAGCAGCAAGAATGCAGGGCCTCCGGGAAGACTCACTGTGTCTGAAATCGTGTAGATATACCAGCTGATCATTCCATTGAGTCAGGATTCGTAGAGCATCTTCCAGAAAGGTAACGACGATGAGGAAACGCCCAATTGCTGGTAAGTACCTGCGAAACCGACACACATAAGCCACCGCCGCGTTGACTGGAACAACAGCATGGAGTATTTGGGCAACGTACGGTTTTATGGGCTCCCCTGTATTGTTCAGCCAATCCTCTATTTTGCTCGTCTGCTCTCTGATCGCGTCGAGCGGGCTAGGGTCACTCGTCGCATCGGCTCTCGAAGGGCCTCCGAATTGATTCTGGAGGCCCAGGTTGTAGCCCGCAGTCCCTCTTATTTGCGCCATACTGACGTATAGATGTCCGATCGTGCCCGCTGCTATTACGACGGGTTGGGACGAGTAGCAAAAGAGATGCCAAAGCTGTCACAAAGTTCGAGAGCTGGTCGTGGGATATTTGACAATGTCGGTAGTTGTGGCAATTAAATAGAGCCCACGATGGAACAAGTGGGAGAGGTGGAGTAATCTGGCAAACCGTGCTGAACCCTAGCAGGATTGTGGAAGTGGTAGACGTGGGCTATTTGTTTCCCGGAAGAGGTTTATAGCAAGAGCACAGCTGGAGATAACAAGAAGACCAAAGTAGGTGTGGGTTTGGGGGACAAAGATGGAAAAGTTTGTTGCAATGTGGCCTGAAACCGTCTGGCCTCAAGCATTTCCTACCCCTCCGAACCAAACTTGATCACCACTGCTATTTAGCTAGCTGCATGAGACACAAGGTCCCGCTGTTCGAAGAGTTGTGGTCATCTCTGCCACAATAAGTATGTGGTCACATTGAGGCAATCTGTTTATTAGGGCTATTTCAATATCTCCTATGCACACAAAGCCCAATTGCTGATGGATAGCATACTATCCTGCTCTCCCTTGCGCGGCCCAGAGTGGTTCATTGCGCATTTCCAATGTGCTGAAGGATGTCTGTATCGGAGCTTGCACCTGCAGTCTGTCATCCGGCAACGTGTAGAACGGTCACGTTCCAAAATAGAGATTGATCCACCAGTAACCTGCACAACGCCATCCACTCTGCCCTTGAGAGGAGACCCTTACCACTGCTGGCGTAGCAGACCTAGTGTTCTCCAAAGCTTCAATTGTTTTGAACCTCATCTCCTTTTGGATGGCACTGTTCGGTTCGAGACGCTCTCTCCTTACTGGGACCGGACGGTGATCGTTTGGAGACTTGGCTCGCCATGAATTCCTCCTGCCCCAGGGCTCATATCTGCGTTCCTTCTTCTTCGACGAAAGCTGGCCCTTCGCGCATACCACGGGCTGGCGGTCCCTCTCCGGGTGGACTCGCTCTACCACGACTCGTACTTCGACCTGGGCTTCTACCTTGTGCAGGCGCACGCTTGGCTCCAGACAGACCAACAACAAATTCAAGTTGATTTTGAGCTCCTCGATCCTTCAGTGTTGCATCCCTTGTTGGTTGTCTAGCACCTCTATCTTCACGTTCTGCTGGTGCTTGAGCTGTGAGAGCTGGCCGCTGTGGCTGCGGTCTGACTGGTCCTGCTAATTATTCCAAACGCCCGGCTGCTGTGCGTTGTGCAGACGAAGGTACCGCTTGAGTAGCTCCTGCTGTTGCTCTTCTATGTGTTGTTGTATGCTGAGGTGTAGGCAGAGTTGCACGAGCTTTCCCAGCCATCTCTCTACCAGGATTTATTCGTGCACCTTCTGAGGCCATCCTACCTGGAGACGAACCTGGCCTCCCAGCTGCACAGCCTCGTATTGATCGACCTTCACCTGGAGACGCTCCAAGCGGCCA